AATTTTTGTTCGTGCATTTCTAAACAGTTTGAATCTAAATCAATAAAACCGCCTAAACCTTAAAATTGAATAAACCTCAACCCCAATAATCCTTCCTGACCCGACCCTAAACCCGAAACTCTGAATCCCAGAACCCTGTTCGTAATTCGTAAACCCTATGACCCTAAGTATAAACCCTAAACGTTAACCCCCTACAACCAGCAACCAAAAAATTCTACAATCCTGCTTCTTTGAACCCTAAACCCTAATAATCCTTAAGTCCCAAAACCCTAAAGTTCTGAATAGTAAACCTAATGAGGGTTGACAGGGGGTGGGGTGCCAGCCAAAGCGCCCAGAACAAGCACCCTAAACCCTAAACCCTAAATCCTAGACCCTAAACCCTAAATCCTAAACCCTAAACCCTAAACCCTAAATCCTAAGCTCTAAACCCTAAAACCTAAACCCTAAATCCTAAACCCTAAACCCTAAATCCTAAACCTTAAACCCAAAACCCTAAATCCTAAACCTTAAACCCTAAACCAAAAACGCCTTAAACCCTAAACCCTAAATCCTAAACCCTAAATCCTAAATCCTAAACCCTAAACCCTAAATCCTAAACCTTAAACCCTGAACCTTAAACCCAAAACCCTAAATCCTAAACCTTAAACCCTAAACCAAAAACGCCTTAAACCCTAAACCCTAAACCCTAAATCCTAAACCCTAAACCCTAAATCCTAAACCCTTAGCCGTATAAACCCTAGGTGTACAGGTTTTAGGGTTTAGGGTTTAGTTTTTTTTGGCCACCCTCCAGCCACAGCACCTATGGGGCGCAGGTTTAGGGGTTTAGGGTTTAGGGGTTTAGGGTTTAGGAACGGTTTAGGGTTTCCTTTAGGGTACAGGTTTAGGGTGTAGGGTTTGGGGTTCGGGGCTTAAAACAAATCGTTTGGTTTCTTTCGTTTCGTTTGCTTGCCCTTCAATTTTATTTTTGTTCCCGAAAATCTTCCGGCTCTGCAGGGGCCCTTTCCGCACAGAACTTCTTTCTTTTCGTTCCTGTAGGTCAGCCATGGCGCCCAAGAGAAAGGCAGCAGCGCCCAAGGAAAAGCTGCCTGTGGAGTTGATCAAGCAGATGAAAGCCAAGATCGACTATGGCCTGAGCAAAGGCCGGCCAGAAGCCCAGAGGCTGAAGGACACTTATGCCAATGCCGACCGCGATGGGAAGAGGGACCTCTTGATGAGGTACTCCGACGACCCCTCGATGAAGTGGATCTATGCCTACGAAGTCTCGGTGACGGAGTCCGATGCCACGGAGAACCAGCAGCAGACAGCTTGGTACACCAGGACCCAGCTGGCTGATGTTGAGAAGCTCGACGAGGACAAGCCCGAGCAGAAGGAGCTGCTGGACAAGCTCTGCTCCAGCTTGCCCTCTCGGGAGCACGAGGACAAGGTCTGGAGGGACCTTGGTGTGCAGCAGTACCAGCGAGTCCTCAGCAAGGTCATCGCTTCGGAGAAGACCGAGAACACGAGCCAGACGAAGCAGATGGCGGTGGGCCAGGCAATGCCGACCAAGATCCGGAAAAAGGAGGTGGCCGACAAGCCGGCAGGTGAGGACCTGCAGGTGTCCTGGGTTGTGGCTGTGCAGAAGGCTGTCAGCGAAGGGCGCCCTGACAACGTTCGTTTCCTTTCGTCTTACTTGTTGGACTTTACTTTGGTTTTGTTTGTTGTGGTTTTTTAAGTTCTGCAGGTGCAAGATCCAGAAGGTGCTGCAGGGCCTGGTCAATGGTGCTACCCGAGAGACGGGGAAGACACAGGTGGCCGACGACAGGCAGCTTCTTCGACAGGCCATCGTGGTGGCTACTCAGGCCTTGGAGGACTTCATTACGGTTCTGGACAAGAAGCAGGATACGGAAGAGTATCATGCCGAGCTGCAGGCCGAGATCCAGAGAGCAGCTGCTGCTGCTGACCTCTTCAAGGAGTTCTTGAGCCAGAAGGTAAGACTGTGCAGAAGGAAGACAATGCCGATGAAAAGAAGCCCGAGCACCAGGACCTCGAGAACAAGGAGCCCCAGAAGATGCCCAAGCGCCGCCTCACTGGCAAGAGTGCCAGCTAGGCAAAGCAGGATGGTCTTGGCCTTTTTGTTCCCTGGCCATCATCCTGCTTCATCTTAGTATATCCAAAGCCACACGTGCAGTTCAGCAATCCAGAAAAACATTGCTCGCTCCATATTCCTTTCGTTAACATCTCTTTCAGTTCAGACAGACATGGTTCATGTCTTGTTGGCCTCGCTCTTCTTATTGTCGTTCTACTTCCTGCTCAAGCCACTTCGTGTAGTTGTTAATGCATCCAAGAGGGTATCACATTCCACTTGTTTCCTTATAAGGACAGAGATAATGAAACACGCTACATTGCTTCGGCATTTTCGTTTCCATTATATAGGGGCAATGGCTCGCAAGCGAAAACAGGATGAGCTGGACAAAATTTTTGCTGAAATGTCTGGCAGGCGAGAAACAAGAGCACGGGAGGCATTGCGGCTTAAAGAAACCGATATTTCGGATGATGTGGCCAGATCAATTCGAAACAGGTATCTGGATACTTTTTACACAAAGGTAGACCTGGCAGCCGAGGGAGGCCAGACAGTGGCAATCTACATTCTGAATCTGTATTTGCTGTGGGAGCACTTGGCGAGCCAGTGCAGAGCATTTGCAGATGTTCTGCTCACACTTCACCAGCAAGATTTGCACTTCATCGTCTACCATGATGAAATCACACCTGGCAATGTCTTGAAGCCGGAGAGCGGTACCAAGGCACATGCCTTTTACATCGGGGCAAAGCAGATGGGAAAACTGCTTTCCAGCGAAAGTATGTGGTTCGTGGCAACAGTCGTGCGATCTCTTGATGCCAAAATCATTCAAGGCAAGTTGGCTGCAGTCACAGCAGCTGTCTGTAAGCACTTTCGACATCTTCGCCACGGACATGCTTTCCATACATATAATGTGTTCGTTTATGGTGCTGTGCGACATCTGCTGGCTGACACTCCTGCCCTGGCTTTCTCCTTCGGTGCAAAAACTTATGCAGGCCGAAAGGTCTGCTTTAAATGTGCCAACATCGTGGCCAAGTGGGTGGCTCTCGGGCCCAGCGACAAGGCAGCAGGTCTCCGACATGTCTCTGCTCCATGGCCCGAGTGCCAACCACTGACAGACAATGAGATCTACGAGATAGTCGAGCTTTTGCGCGCTGAAGCTGGCCATCGACCACAGTCGTATATGAACAGCTTGGAATCTAACCTTGGATACAATCACACTCCTTTTTGCTTGTGGCTGGATAAGGAGGCCCGAGAACTGTTGCCACCTTCTCGCTGCCACTTTGATTGGGTGCACATCTTTTATTCCCAAGGCATCGCCTCCCAACACATATTTCAACTTCAAGGGAAATTGTCAGCAAGTGGTTGGTCGCCGGCAACAATCCACGACTTTGCCAAACAAACATTCCAGATGGGTGCAGACAACAATCGCATATCCTTCAAGACTGTCTTCTCCCAAGGATACTTTGGAGAGAACACCTGGAAGGCACATGTTCGTTTCAAGATCTGCTGTCTTTTTTCGTCGTAACATGTGTATCTCCATGCAAGTTCTATAAGTTGTAATCCCTCAGGCAAATGCTGGGACACAGATGGCGAGCATGCCGATTCTACACTGGCTTGTTCGATATGTGATCTTGCCTACATGCCGAGCAAACGACGACGAGCTCTTCTTTCGTTGTTTTTTGCTTTTGGCCGAGATCTGTGCCGAGCTATGGTTGCTCAAGCACAGGCCGCATGATGCAGCAGCCCGAATTGCTGCACAAAACTTGTTGCCGAAAATGAGCGACTACATTATCAGGTGCGAGGCTTTGTTTGGCTTGGACTACATTAAACCCAAGCACCATTTCATGCTGCACTTGCCGACCCAGTACCTCAAGTCGCATTGTTTATTTGACACCTTCACAAATGAAAGGAAGCACAGGCTGCTTAAGCAGAAGCTGACCGAGCAGAAAGGTCCACTGGGAAATCCAGCAGTGCTCTACAATGTCAATGCTGTGCAATTGCGAGAAATGCAAGAGCACAAGTCCTTCTTGAAAACTTTCGCTCTCAATAAGAGTGTTGTGCAGGGGCCTTATGGCAAAGTCCACCTCAACAAGCCCATTTGCTTCCTGGGAGCCAAGACAGCTGGATTTGTAGAAAGCTTCCTGCAGGATGGTGCAGGAGGCATGTGTGCGGTTGTCCGCCTGGCTCGCTGGACACACACTGGCGTGGATGCATGTGGCATCCTCGCTCATGAGTTGCAAGATTTCAAGCAAACGATTTCTTTGGACACTACTGCGTTTATTCGCATGCAGTATTGGCTGCTACAGGATGACCACTTGTTCCTGCTCCACTGAAAGCAAAAAACACGCCCGTGTTTCCTTCGTTTGTTTCTTTCTGTTCCGCTTGTTTGGGGGTCGCTTGTTGTAATTGTCATTACCTCTTATAGCCTTTTGTAGTTTTTTTATAACTTTTTATAACTTTTTTATAACTTTTCCTAACCTTTATAACTTTTTATGTAACCTTGTGTAACCTCTGTAACCACCTTATAACCTCTATAAGTCCAGCTAAGTCAAAACCCATGTATTAGTGGAGCCCCTTCGCGCCAACCAAGCCTCGCTGCCTTCTCTGTTCCTGGCCCATCCCTTAGCCCCTTCGCGCCAACCCAAGCTGTCTTCACGGACCTGCCTCGTTTCCGTCTGCTGCAGCTTTGCGCCTGGTCCACGCACCTTGTGGAAATCCCCAAAAAGGGCGTGAGTGCTGACTCATGTGATGCTTTGTAAAAAAATAAAAGGTCTTAACTCCTTGAGAGTTGTAAGTGGGCGGTCTTGGGGTGGGTAGGTCTGCAGACTACCGCGCGCTCCCAAAGCGCGCTCCCGTCTGGCACGCCCTAAACCCTAAACCCTAAACCCTAAACCCTAAACCCTAAACCCTAAACCCTAAACTCCGCTGACGCCCCTCACGCCTTCATGAAGCGCTGACCACACTCGTCCAGGTCCGAAGCATGCGGCGTTGCTCCGACATTCTGCCTGCCACGGTTATAAGCTATCTACTGAATAGACATATAACAAAATCATAATGCACGACTATACGAAATATATAATCTTATTATATATCATAGGATGCAAAAAATATAATGTTATTGATAACATAACGATACAGAAATATACAACTAGAAGAAGGCTGCTCCCTCGACGCCAAGAGCACAGCAAAAGTACAAGCCATGCCCGCAGCAGCACGAGAAGCTGCGCCTCGTTCAGCGGAGCAAAGTTACATGTCAGATGCAACATACGGGAGTTTTACGAAGATAAGGGACCCCTAATATCCAACCTTGAATAAGGGCCCCTTTTAGGGTTTAGGGTTTCGGGTTTAGGGTTTAGGGTTTGGTACCCCTAATTTCTGAAGTTCCAAAGAGAAGCATGGGACTTAGCAACTGCCCCAGCCCAAGATGTTCATCTTTCTGCACGGCGGCATATGAATAGGTGGCTATCAAAATTGTGGTCCCTTTTGGATCCCTACTATACTACGGCTTCTAATATTTATAGGGTACCCCAAAAGGGATTATAATTTTGACAGCCACCCACATCTTGCAAGCGTGGAACACGGTGCGCATTCTTTCTTCGAGAAATTCTTCGAGAGGCGACTGGGGTCTGCGGCTCAAGCATCCCGCTAGGAACGTACGTGAGCTATGCCTGAGTTCAGACAGCACGAAGATGAGGAAAGAATTAGGGCCGTAAAGGCGCACCCTAAACCCTAAACCCTAAACCCTAAACCCTAAACCCTAAACCCTAAACCCTAAACCCTAAACCCTAAACCCTAAACCCTAAACCCTAAACCCTAACGACTCCGGATGAAGTCGATCTGTGCAGGTGTCGGGCCGTGACCAGCAAACATCTGCCGCACTTCCTCAAGCCAAGGCTGCCGCAGCGGACAGGGCCCGCTTGGCTACTTGGAGGTTCATGGTACTTATTAACCAATTATCACTGTACTTAGAACTGTACTTATAACAATATAAGGGCACTTAAGGGGCTTATAAGTGGGTTATAAGAACAGTTATGGTTATGTGTTAGAATTGGTCAAGAAGAATGAACCTTCAAGTACCAGGCTTTCACACGTGCGGACGGAGAAAGGCCGGTCAGCCCCACAAAGGGGAACTGCAAGCCGCTGAAGATCCCAACAAGATCCATCAAAGCGGCCTGAATTTGAAAATTCGGTCTGATTTGGAGGCCCCGTGTATCCCTCTGTGTACCTGGAAGCTCTCCCCTTCAGGGATGAGAGCTGGTCCAAGGCCCAGGGAGTACCAATTCAACTCCACTTGCCCTTCGTCCTGTGTCCTTTGGCTGATAAACATGGCTGGGTGCTGCTTCTTTCTCCTAACTTCGAAATCCTTCTGAGTGTTAGTTTTTTAACTTTTTTTTTTTTGGGGGGGGGGGGGGTTTATTAAGGTGGCGACCTGCTGAGTGAGTTGCTTTTGGCCCAGGGGACTCCAAAGCAGCCTCCAAGAGGGAGGTTCAGATCCTCACCGGCGCCTCCGCGAGCGCGCTGCTCGCGCGCTGCTCGCGCGCGCCAGCCTTAGCGCAGCGCGCCCTGTCAGCTGGAGCCTTGAGCTGCTGTGCAACCGTAGCAGTGGGCCGCAGTCCGGATCGCCTCGGTGCTCAGAACGTGGAGGCAATTCAGGGTTCTGTGGCTTGTAGAACTCTATCATGATACGGTTTGGGTCTACACCCTTGCACTGCCCACCCGCCTTAAACTCAAGCCCAAACACATCTGAATCATAAAACCATGCTGGAAATAATCTCGGATAAACCTTCAAGAAACCCCCAATCCGCAAGCAATTCAAGCCCAGCGGCGGCTCGCTGCAACTTTGGGTCGTTTAGGCTCTCCACGTCAAAAACGCTCAGGTTTCCCCCGAGGCCAAGCTCCAGCTGCTGGTTGAAGTCACAGTCGTACCTCATGCCCTAAAGCCTAAAGCCGAAAGCCCTAAACTAAACCCTAAACCTCCTAAACCGTAGACCGTAAATCAAGCCTTAACCTCAGCCTAGACCCCCCAAGCAAACCCTTCAAGATACCCTAGAATACCACCATTAAGGTGCACTTTGGCCCTTTTTTTCAGGGGTTCTTTTGGAGGACCCATGAGACCTTTTGTGTCCGGTGGGGGGGTTGATCGAAGTCAAGGCGGTTTTCGAATTCATCATGTGTTTGCAGATAGCTTAAAAAAAGAAAACAGAACCGAGGAGCAATCTTCCATCCCAGCCAACGTTGACAGTGTTGGTGCACATGAGATCCCCGACTGTATCTTCGTTGAAGTTGCGGACCAGCAAGTCCTTGAGTCCACAAGGCACAGAGGCCCGGCACATGAAGGTCCACACGCCTTTCCTACAATTGCAGCATGCCATGCAGGCAGCACAAACACTTGGAAGGTAAATCATGGCCCAAAGACAAGCGACCGTGGAACAGATCAGTTGAGCCAAGTGTCCATGTAGCCCTCAAGCGCACCTGCACAAGAACAGAAAAACGGGACTGCAAGCAGCCATCGCGTGCCATCCGACTGTGGGTGAATCGACTACCACTACACCTGGAACTGTGGTAACCCGCACACGCCAGCAGACCAACCTTTTTTCCGAAGGTAGTCGAAGTAGCGCTTTATGGGCATGTTGGCAATGGTGAGCAAGCCTCTGGCTGTGCCGGAGGAGGGGAGATCATGGGGCCCCTGGGGGCTATGGGGTTCCTACAACCAACTTGCCAACAAGATGGTTCAAGCAGTGTTCAAGTCGCAGCCCAGGTGCTTTAAGCGCGGGGTTTAGGGTTTAGGGTTTCGGGGCTTACGTTTCTACACAGTCAGTTCAAGGCCGGCGAGCCGTCAAACTCGACGCCGTAAGAAGTCTCGAGCTCCTTCTTGTACTTCATCTCTAGCCTCGGGGCCCACGGTTTTAGGGTTTAGGGTTTAATTGGGAGACATGGCTTGGCTGGGTTCCTACTGGCGGCGTCGTATCGTCATGGTGATGTACAGAGGCAGCACCATTTGCGCAGCAGACACGTCCGGGGTTTCCACAACACAACCTGCGAAAATATGACCCTTCAACGGAGAAAGCCATCCGAATCCCCCTATAACTGGGTTAAAGATCCCAAGTGGCTGCTGCTGCTTCGGCGGCAGGAAAGGCCCTGGCGGATTGAAGACGAGATCAAGACGCCGACCTGATTTTCCTCAGCGATACATTTGTGCATAGTATTTTGTATACTCTATGCCCTAATGTATCTTTGATATGTCCTATATCAAATCTAGTACATATTGCGTAGGATACACTACGCTTTGTGTGGATGATGCGGCTGAGATGGAAGCATCTGATAGCGCGACCACAATGGTAAAACAATGTGACAGGGTGTTGTCAAGACACGCCTCCCAGCATGCAACATGCCCAACATCATTAGGCCACTAGACAGCAAGCTGAGCTCGGCAACGCATCCCTTCTGAACGCCTTTCCATGTAGACACTTGCTGGTTTGCCTAGATACCCAAGCACCATCCGTCCCTGTCCCTACCGTCCCCACCGAGAATTCATCCGAGACAAGGCGCCTGAGCCATAGCCATGTTGGTTCAGGATGCGAAGGCCCTGCAAACAAGCAGGCGCTGCAACCCTCCACCCCCTCGTCATGAACCAAGATTTGAGTCACCCACCTGAATGCTCCTTTCGAAGACTTTTCTCCCGCGCTGCCTGAGAATCTGGGACGATCTTACAAGTACCCCGGAATGAATGGTCGCCCGAGTGTTGAGTTCTCTCATCCACAGGGCACGGTCCAAGGCGGAACTGTCACGCGCCTGTCGGTTTGATCTGGCTCGTAGCTTGGCAGAGATGCGATGATGTCAACGCCTGTCTCGACCAAGAAGGCCGGCAGTGACTCTTGGCCAGGCTCCAGCAAAACCTCGGGGGGGCACAAGGTTCTTGCAGGTGTGGGCACGTAAACGACTGGACCGTGCTGAGCCCCGACCGTTAAGTTGCAGCGGTCGATGATGCGCAGGTCCGGTCTCGCTCCAGTCTCCTGCACCAGGAACCAGGACGGGCTATTGGGCCTATAACCCCTGTATCGAGGGGTGATTATGGGGATTATAGGGCCTAATCGCCCATCCACTACATGACTCCCAGCCTCGCTCATGGAGCGGAGGAGTGAGGGGGCGGGGCCAAAACCCCTAAACCCCTAAACCCTAAACCCTAAACCCTAAAAAAGCTAGAAGAGAGCTGCGCCCCGTCCCGGAGCTGCGCTGCTCCCTGCACCAGGCGCCGGAAGCCTCGATTGAGCTCTGGGGCTCCGCCCGTGATGTCCAAAACCTCCACGGTTGCATACGAGGTTTAGGGTTTAGGGTTTAGGGTTTAGGGTTTAGGGTTTAGGGTTCCGGGTTTAGGGTTTAGGGTTTAGGGTTTAGGTGAAAGCCAGGAACTGCAAACGGTTAGACAGATGGTTATACGCATGATTTTATAGCTTACAAAGTATACGTAACCTTGACCTAGGACCTAGGCAGAATGCGCCTTGACTGTCGGCGAGTTTTTGAGTAGAAGCAAGCAGCGCTCGACCACCTCCTGCGCACCAGGTGGCCAGGGACACACATTTGGGGGTTTACGAACATAGGGGACCCCTAAGATAGACCCATTGTAGGATGCCCCTGCATTAAGGATCCCAACAAGGTATAGCCTCTTCCCACAACCCGGCCTGAGACATCATCTCCTTTCGAAGCGGCGACGATTCTACGTGGCAGTGGTTGCAAGCTTGGTTGCAGTAGAGGCCTCTTCACGGTGCCACGGTATGCACACATTGCGCGTGCAATCCCGAAAACGAGATTCGCCCTAAACCCTAAACCCTAAACCCTAAACCCTAAACCCTAAACCCTAAACCCGAAACCCTAAAGCCTAAACCCTAAACCCTAAACCCTAGACCCTAAACCCTAAACCGCGTGCCTATATTCAGCTGCAACACGTGGCACTTGCTGCGCTCGAGATCTGGAACGCGCCGTTCTCGCAGAAAACCTTTGACGTGCCATGCCCTGCAGAGTCGACCATTTCTGGGGACCAAATGAACCCTAAAATTGGGGGTCATATACCCTATACGACTATAATTCACATTAAGGTGTATGGAACGCCTCAGCGTGTCTCAACTCCTAAACCCTAAACCCTAAACCCTTTTTAGGGTTCATTTGGTCCCCCAAAGAGCGTCGCAGAACAAGACAAGGACGAAGGTCAGCCGAAGAGCGCTTGAATGGTGGTGCTCCAACGGCTTGTAAGGCCTGTCCAGGCAAGAGAACCCCCCTCTTACCAGAAGAACTCCCTAAGGGACTCCAATTTTGGAATCCCACACACACACATGGTGAGTTCTCTAAATTCGAGCCCCTTTTTGGGGTACCCCAAATACTGGGGGCCGCCTTCTCATAGTATCCCGGAAAGGGACCATCATTTCGAGAAGTGACCACATGGTAGCACATGGGGGTTTATGAAAATAGCGGCCCTCAAAATAGACCCCCAAAATACTAGGATTCCCTTTTAGTCAGGACCCCAAAAATGTACCCCTAATTTCGGGAACTCACAAACCCTAAACCCTAAATCCTAAACCCTAAACCCTGGGGCATTGAGAAACTCGCATCACCTGGCCTTGGCACGAGCATCCACCTCGGCTGTGGGCGCCAGAGAGGCGGCCATCTCTTCAGCCTGCTCCTGGTCCGATCCCTATGATGGGTTTAGGGTTTAGGGTTTAGGGTTTAGGGTTTAGGGTTTAGGGTTTAGGGTTTAGGGTTTAGGGCTAGTATAAGGGGGAGCATCCCAAGCTCAAGGGTTGCAACCTTTCAGGGCTCTCATACGGGTGTCCGAGGCCACTGAAGACTTGAAGGTTTCCTCTGATAAAGGGGGGGGGGGGAGGTGGACCATTTTCGGAGGGGATTTCCTAGAATGAGGACTCTTCTATTCCAGGATACGGGGGATGCGCCCTTTCTGGAGGGTTCCCTATGCTTAGTGTCTTTGGGGTCTACTCACTAGTCATCCTGGGCCTGTCCACGTGCAGGTTCCATGAAGGTCCATATCTTTTGCTAAGAAGGCATTCAAGTCCCTGGAAGGCTGCAATCCTTGAGCCGTTTAGGGTTTAGGGTTTAGGGTTTAGGGTTTAGGGTTTAGGGTTTAGGGTTTAGGGTTTAGGGTTTAGGGTTTGCTCAGCACGGACCTCGAGGTCCAAGAGGGCATCCGGGACCAGGCTGGTCCGCTTCAGGGAGACTTCTTGGCCTTTCTGGTGCAGCTCCTGCCACTTCAGTGTGCTGTGCTGGCATCCTACGCTAAACCCTAAACCCTAAACCCTAAACCCCAAACCCCAAACCCTAAACCCCCTCACCCCCCCCCCCCCCCCCCTCCCAAAAAAAAAACCATCTGGATCTCCTTGGCTGCTGCCAGGGTCATCTGGGACAGTTCCACAGGCCCATACTCAAAAGAGGCAGTCTTTCGACGACGCATGTACCAGCGCACAACCGGCACCTGAGCAGGGCTACGGGGTTTAGGGTTTAGGGTTTAGGGTTTAGGGTTTAGGGTTTAGGGTTTAGGGCTACTGCACCTGCACACTACCATTTAAGGTTAAGGGTTGAGGGTTTAGGGCAGGTCGAAGAACCCAAAGACAACTCAACACAATACTGCCCTACCCTTACAGGGAAGAAGATTTACTACCCATATGGCTGCACCAGGTCGTCGCCGCTTCCCATAGAGGACTGAGTCGCGAACCGCTGCCACCAGGGTTCCCGCGGCGAGCACAGCTAGCAGCGGCCACCTGCAGGGATCGGGGAGCTCTTGGACTGGCCACAAGTGACGACTATCATGCCCTAAGGGCCCATGTACCTAAATAGGGATTAGGGTTTGGGGTTTCGGGGTCTAGGGTTTAGGGTTCAGCCCTAAGGGCCCCTGTACCTAAATAGGGAATGCTTGGGCCTTAAGGTACTTGCTATTTAGGGACTTTGGGGCCCAAGTATATATAACAATTCGGTACATGGACCCTTAGGGTTTAGGGCTTAGGGTCCATGTACCTAAATAGGGAATACTTGGGCCTTAAAGTATCTTAAAGTACTTGCTATATAATAATTAGGTACATGGACCCTTAGGGAGGCAAAGGCCAAGAGACGTGCCTGGAGGCATCTTCACCTTCAGCTGGGCTCTCACCTGACAAAGTCTGGAGGCTTTCTGAGCTGCCCCTAAACCCTAAACCCTAAACCCTAAACCCTAAACCCTAAACCCTAAACCGCAGGAGGCACAGAATCCGTGAGTCGGCGCCTTTACCAGCTTTCCCTGCAGTCAGAGCCACGACGCTGCCGGAAGCAGCCACCATGGCACCCAAAGCAAGCTGAAGCCCAAGGCTAGTTCATGGTTGGGATAATAGAAAAAATATTGGGTTTAAGTACCGTTAAAAAGGTAACATGTTACCCGACTCTGACCAAGAAGGTGATTTTAAGCTGTCTGTTTCTGAAGACCAAGTTCCGACAGCCCAGTTGTGACGATGTTCGAGGCCTACACGCCCTTGAAGTTCGGTGAGGAAGACCCCCCATGTTCTCATCAGTCTTGTGGTCTTCCGAAAGGCTTCGGCGTCTGCAAAATGATGCTTGATTGATGTTAAGCTGCTACACGCAGAAGACTCTGTACTCTCGTGGGCCGTACACCGGATCACAAGTATATGTTGCTAGACTGGGCTTGCACACTGAGCTCCTCTGCTGCTCTTGAACTGGAAAAGTGCTTCACATACTTCACTCTGCTTGCGCAACTCAAGTGCCTGTCTGCTGAAACGAGCCTGCCCAAGCCTGAAAAGTGAACATTGGTTGACGGCAGCTTGCCTGCTCGTGAGAAGAAACCATCGGCAATGTTCCTTGGCTGCCCAGCTACCACACACGGAGTAGCAGAATAACACTCGTGTCAACTCTGAGAGTAGTTTTGTGTGCCAGGGCTCGTGTTTGTAAGAAGCGGCTCAGCTCGTTCAACTCCGTTTCCGACACGTGCCTCCGGCTTCCGGCATCGTTTGCAGTGCGCACAAGTGCAACTTTGCAGCCCAGCCATCCAGCCGATGTCTCGCTGATGTTCTCCTCCTGAAGACTCACGCTGCCATCTCACACACTCCCTGGCCCCACGTGGGAACTGAGCCTGTGGAGGAGCATCGTGCGGAGAACCGTCATCCTGAAATGAAGCGTCGCAGGTAAGTCATGATGCTTTAACAAACAGACAGGGCCAAAAGGATACCCGGTTACCCCTTTGCACGGTCTGTGAAGGGATTCGGAAAAAAAAACCGCACCACAGCGTGAGGCGACTTCCATCTCAAACCCGGACCTCTGCCTCTGTCCAGGACGAGCGGAGCTTCGCCATGCGCGTCTCAAAACGAGGAATGAGGAGAGTGAAAGGAGCAAACTGACTGTTCGTGTCTCGGCCTCAAAGTCGTCCTCAAACAAGGAGGCAGCAGTTGCAGTGCCTTCAGACTCGGGGCCACCTGCACAAGCAGCTGGGGTGGGGCATGGACAGTGGCTCGCGGAAAGCTCGCAAGCCAAGAAGAACATGCTGTCAAGGGCGCAGACCCTCCCCCCCTCTCTTCTGCCGTGCCCCACACACGGAACTGTGAAACATCTCCAGGAAGCAGCAAGGATGCCTCCATGCAACTGGCTGGTAGAGCTTGCAGAGCTTGCTGCATGTGGCTCACGTCTTGCCTCGGAGCGGCAGCTGCCAAAATCACGAATTAAAAAAAACATTCGGCAACGAGAAACTACCTCGCAACAAGTGCTGTCAAGTGGCCATGGCATCAGCACAGTGGAACTCACCGAAGTCCATGTCCTTGATGACAAACAAACTCAATGGATCATAGAAAAGCGCGACAGCCATACTTTGGGATGTTCCCCCCTTATGCTAACAGTCCTGAATAGGGATTATGATACTGCCCCCTATTGTAGTCCCAAATTAAGGACTGCTAGTGTAAGGGGGAACATCCCAAGCCAAACTCCAGGAAGCTGTGTTTGGCACCACCAATGGGGAAACCTGTTCTGGTCGAGCAGATTCACGGAGTACCTCGACCAAGGCCGCTTTATCACAAGATCGCCGTGAAACTCGCAGAATGTACACATGGGGGTTTACGATATTAGGGGTACCTCACTGGGGTCTTTATTATAAAGGGATCCTATTCTTCGGGGGTCTATATTGGGGGTTACCCTATTTTCGTAAACCCCCCACACATCTGCAATGACGGGCTCGAAACGACTCATTCCTTGCCGGTGCATTTTTTAACTCGAGAGGGGGCTCCGAAGTGAGAAGTGAAGTTCCTTTGCTAGGCCATGTCCGCGACAGAAGCCAAGAAAGCCACGGCCACCTTGGCGAAGTTGGTTACTTCTTATGTCGTAGGATGGGCCAAGCAGTATCCCAACACGAGCAGCCCCCAAAATATTCATGTGCCAATGCAAGAGCAAGATGATGTAACAAGCAATTGTCGGCCTCCAGTCGGAGCCTGAACAACCTAACGGACTAAAGGAGGGACCCAATAAGGGACCTTAGAGGTAAGTTTTGGGTTATTTAGGGGGAATAAAATTACGGTCCCTTCTAGGAGTCCCTCCTTCCTAGATCTTTGATGTGCAAGTCCAAGACTGTCGTGATGTCCTTATGGTAGTATTAGAAGGTGGAATGGGCGCCAGTGGCCCAGTTCTGCATGAAGGCGGAAGCGTCCCTGCGCTCGGTAGGCAGTCTCAGGCTACTGTGGAGGCTAACAATGCCCCAACCCCGGGAGGAGTGATAGCTCGGTTCTGGCCTGGCTACGACAAGAGCCTGTACTGCTGTAACCCTAAACCCTAAACCCTTAAAAATGCAGGCCTCGTGGCATGGATCAGAGACACACAGCCATTCCAAGTTCAAGTAGCCCCTTCCCCCCCGCCCCCCCACCCACGGCGTGCATGCAAGCCGCACCCACACTGGCCCTCCAGCAGAGTGTTCCAGACTTCTCTGGAGCCGTGGTTGGGCAGTTCCTCTTTCAGGACAGGGCGCGACGGCAAGCTTCGGCCAAATCCGGGCCAATACCAACTTGACAATTGATCAGTTTCGCGATAGTGCACTCCGAGACTCACTTCTGCCACCCTCCTTGATCGGTCCATCTTGCCTGGGCTGAAAGTTTATACCAGTAGCGCCAGTGGAAGAATGGCACTGCAAATCGACGGCCAAAATTGAACCATGACCAGCACACGGGCACAAGCCAGCCGAGACACCCCAATAGTTGTCTCCACTCTTGTGCCCGTCTTTGGTGCTCTTGTGACCTGTGGGCAAAGCATGCTCGAGCACTGCGCGTGCCTCAACTTGCTACTGTTCGCGGCCTTTCACATAATGGTAGACGTGGATCTTGTCCGCTTTCGAGTCGTACCTGCGAAACTGGCGACCGAGAGGCATCGAACAAAGTGCCAGGGCATGGCTGCTAGGCTGCCGACCACCCACATTCCCACTTTCGCTTGTCCCTGAGGTGTCATCAGTGCCGACATGACAACGGCCTACATTTAGTATGTGCTAAAGTAGTATACTGCCTTACCGTATGAACAGTATAGCCGTAGCACCAGCAAAGGGGACGCCCCCAAAGGAACTTTACCAAAGATTCCGATGCGCCCCTACTTCTCGTCGGCTTTACAGTTGCACCCCTTGAAGCCTGCGGAAATGAAAATGCCTGCAAACCCTTAAACTACAGCACCCTAGAGAGTAGTCGAAGACTCATGAAGAGGCTCACTGCAACCAAGTCTCCCAGCCCAGTCCTTGCTGACCCACTGGGTTTTGCCCTTGGCATTGCCACTGTTGCAAAGAGCCTGGAAACGACTTGGTTCAAAAGCACTCGGCCACCGAATATACCAGTGGCAACACATTGGGCCAACACCTTCTTGTCATCTTCGGACGTCGAAAGCTTGGACGTGTGACCATTCCAAATCCTTGCATCGCAAACATGCACAGCTCCGTAAAGACTCACCCTGAACCCTAAACCCCTGTGTATATTGTGTATATTTTTAGAGCACGACGCGAAACGAGGGGTTTTGAGCCCGTGCTGATCGAAGCCTCGGCTTTGATCCTGGAGTTGAATGTCCGGAATCTACAGATTAATGAAGCCTTGCAGCCCGCAGCTTTCTCTCAAGGAGTATGCAGCTATGGTTAGTGGCATGTTTCGGGCGTTTCCGGGCTAGCGGGGAATCGTTTCTTCTTGGGGATGATGCCTGGAGTTGCGCCATGTGTCAGTGGAAGCCTGCCCCGCATTCAAGAAAACCTTCCTTATAAGGGTAATAAAGGGATTGCTGGCTTTCATGTTTTGGGGGTTCTGGCTCTGCTACTGTGCTGTGCTTCCGCTAGTGCACCTTTGAGGGCTTCGAGCATCCTGCCGGGATGCTTGACCTTGCCATCGCAAAAGATTTCCACGTCCATGAACCTCAGTCACCGGATGGTCCCCATGTTCGGTGATCTACTTCGGTGCTGTCTGTACCTACCCTGCACCTGTGCACTGCACCGGTAGCATTGGCTGAGGCGCTGCTGTTCCTTCGACCATCCATCATAGTGCACCTGCACACATCCCTATACTCCCCTTAGAACCTTCATAAAACTAATATTTTGAATATCCTCTTGGGTTTATATAAACAAAAACAAGAAGAATTCCCAAGGGGGATATAGATCCGTGCGGCTGCCAGGAGGCCTACACTGTGCAGGGTGGCTGGCCTTCCACTTGCCGGCGCTCTGGGCAAATGTTGGGTCAGTTACCTGCCGGTAGATCAGTCTCTCCGTAAACGCAGGCACACACTCGACAACGCAAGCCGAGCCAACAGTCGAAGATGACTGTTGGGATGACCCACGTACTGGACTGCTTTGCAACATCTCGTCCAGTCAGGTGGCGACATCGTCTGCAGGCGCACCTGACAGAAGCTGGACCAGGAAGTGCTCACTTCCCGACCCCCGCCCGCAACTTCCACAACAACCCCCAAACAATGTGCAAGAATGCTCTCACACACTGCCACATGGTCTCAGATGGTAGCTGCACCTGTCTCAGCAGTATCTCCGGTGTCGAGCTGTAGGACTCCTCCATTGGGTTTAGGGTTTACAGTAGGGTTTAGGGTTTAGGGTTTAGGGCCACCAAGGTGAAGCGAAGTCAATGCAGAGCTACTGGCAAACTGCGATGGAAAGTGAGCTTCTGTCAAGAGATGTCGAGGGCTTTCTTGGCTTCTACCATCTGCGCGGCCATCCCGACAAAGAGCCGCCCTAAACCCTAAACCCTAAACCCTAAACCCTAAACCCTAAACCCTAAACCCTAAACCCTAAACCTCAAGCCCCAAACCCTAAGGCAACCTTGAGGAGACACGGCGGCAGTCACCAGACCTCGCTCAGGTGAAGCAATGACTCGGGTGACCCGCCCATGCGCTGAAACTTTGGCTGCCATGGTGTTGCCTACTTGGAGGTTCATGGTACTTATTAACCAATTAAAACTGCACTAATAACCTACTTGTCAGCCCCTTAAGTGCCCTAATATGGCTATAAGTACAGTTATAAGTACAGTTATATTTGGGTAATAAGTACCATGAACCTCCAAGTACCCATCCTGCCTCGATGAGGAGCTTGCTTGCGAACGAAGTCGGAAGAGTTGCCTCTGAAAAAGGACCCTGGTTCTTAGTAAGGAATGAGGGCATGAGGGCCCTATACATACCCTTTAAGGGATTGCATAGGGCCCTCACTCCCTCATTCCCCACTAAGGACCAGCCAGAAAAGGGTGACAGCAAGTGAGCATCATGTGCCGACTATCACGTGCAGAGTTTGCCCGGCTCCACACCGCCTGCAAGGGAGTGGACCACAGCCGCGATGGCTGCAAAGAGCAGAAGAAAAAACATGCAGGCCTGCAGCTGAAAATGCAACCCCGGCGGAGCAAAGCGAATGGCTTCACACGTGAGAACAGCCACACGAAAGCATGCACCGTGCCTTAGCCCATATGGTACAGAGTGGTACAGAAGACCTGACTACTAAAGCTGTTTGGAGCCGAAGGGCCACAGTCTCTGCGGTCGCCATATGCGTCTGTTGACAAAGAGGCGTGGCCAGTTGCTGTGAACATGGGATAACATGGGCACGCCATGGGACATCATGAGGGGTCATGGCGACGCCACCCTGGCACTGCGCACGTGTAGAAGTTGCTGAAGCACTCGCCTAGCGAGCGTCGCCTTCGCAGCTGCCAGCAGCTCCTAATTCGGTGTTGCCTCTTCGCAGCGAAATTAAGCAACGCACCTGTCCACGTCTGAGGAGCCAGATGAGCGTGTCGGGATGGTAGGCCTCGGACACATCGCTCTCCCACACTTACGGCCCCATGTGGAGTCATCTCGACATGGCATAGACTAACGTGGGGCTCATATCCTATCGCTTGTGGGCAGCTTTATACTACATGGCATCAAGCTCAGGGTGAGACTGGGCATGGTGCCGCAGCTTGTAGTCGTCCTGATAGGTGCATGCATGCAACATGCAACTTGAAGCATGAACGTGAAAAGCACCTTCCCACACTCTCATTGTGGGTAGAAGTGAAGGCTGAGCGGGGCTGAAGCAAAAGAGTTTGTCGAATTTTGTCGAAAAGCTCCCCATGCATATTCCATGACAACAGATGCCTTCTCACGCCGACAGATGCCAAAGTCCCACAGTTTCTGGTTCTCCTTGCGGACCTTCCTGAGACCCTTATGCGTGAACCTCCTTTGGTTGCTGGAGGGTGGCCGTGTCGTCACAGGTTGCAATGGATCCTGTGTGGACCCCTACGGGCTCTCTCTGGACACCTGGGGTGGCTGGACCTCCTACATAGACCCACGATTCGCCTCAGAAGAAATAGGAGGTGCACGAGAGCGCTGTAACATTTGCAAAGCCTGATCTCAGCAAATCTCATCGCCACATCAGCCACATCAGAGCAGGAGAGCCCCTGCTAAATATCTAGGCGCAAATCCCGACGCACCACCCATTTTCAGGTGTCAACTCAATCCATGCATGCTTTGGTTACGTCCCGGTGTGAATGGGCCTTGAGCTGCTGAAGGTAAGGAAGCAGCCACCACCGCTGGCCTGACATAGAACAACCCTAGACCCTAGAACCCTAAACCCTAAACCCTAAGCCCTAAACCCTAAACCCTAAACCCTAAGCCCTAAGCCCTGAGCCCTAAGCCCTAAGCCCTAAACCCTAAACCCTAAATCCTAAACCCCCACACCCGCGGTTCTTTGCTCAAAGGTGCAGCTCAGGGGCCTGCGAGGTCCGCCTTCTCCAGGGCCCCCGCAGATGCCAGCCTGAAGACATCATTTTGGCTTAGGGTTTAGGGTTTAGGGTTTGGGGTTTGGGGTTTGGGGTTTAGGGTTCAGGGTTCAGGGTTTAGGGTTTAGGGTTCCCTATGGGATTTTCACCCTTATGCTGACAGGCCTTAATAGGGGTTATACTCTAGGAGGCACTATAATCCCTGTTAAGGACTGTGAGTATAAGGAGGAACATCCCAAACATTGGCAGTTATACGTAGGGTTAGAAGTACTTGGGAACAAACAGTTCTGACCTCATCGCAGGGTCCTTATATCCCTACTCATCATGAGTATGTTCTAGTACGTTCGAAGCTATGTCAACAAATAGTTGTAACCCACTTTGGGAGGGGAGGGTTGTTGTTTTAAACTGACTACCCATGAACTTCCAAGTCGTGTCGAGCATGAACAAAGTCATATGGCGGTTTCCGAACTTAGGGGCACCTTCTGGGGGGTCCTTCTCATAAATGGATCCTACTATTTGGGGGTCTATATTAGGGGGTCCCCTTATATTCGGAAACCCCCAGAAAGGGGAATAAGATTTGTAAGGCTGCCGTTTGTATTCAGGGTACCCGAAAAGGGACCCTCATTTAGAAGGGTTTAGGGTTTAGGGTTTAGGGTATTTAAGCCCAAGCCACGTAGAGCACAGCCCCCTCGCCGCAAGTGGCCAGACGGGACCCGGTCTCCAAGGGCAGAGCCTCTGCAGGCAACGAGGCATGGGGACCAGAGGCAGCAGGATATACCTTCAACCCTAAACCCTAGCCCTAAACCCTAAACCCTAAATCCTAAACCCTAAACCCTAAACCTCTAACCCTAAACCCTTGCGCCTCCGGATGCAAATCCACGGAATGCCACGTTTCACCGGTGCTGCCTCTCTGGCCTAGAATGAACAGAGCATCCCACGCATCACACGCGAGAGCTTTCGCAGCAAAGCTGAACTCTGCTCAGCTCTGCTCCATAGCACATAACCAGCACATAGCATAACGATGATGATGAATCATTGTAACAAAACAAAAAACTGACAACGAGCATAATTACAACAACAATAACAATAACAAGACCAAGAGTTAAAAGTACTGTGAATAATTGTGAAAACAAATAACTACTAAGAGAACTAGCAACAACAATAACATTGAAGAACTGTGTCACCGAGCACAGCAGCGCCGACGCAGGCGCAAGCGCATCATCCCCGCGCGCTGCCGCAAGGATCAGCAGACCACCCCCTGTAGGCCACACCAACAAGGTCTAGGGTTCAGGGTTTCGGGAGAAGCCCAGATCATATTCATATTATATACATATACATATATACATATACATATATACATATATATATATATATTACATACATATATATATATATATGTAGTACTATATATCTATATATATATAATTATATATAACTATATATATATACACACCATTCGGATGGCTTCGCCTGCACAGCGGTGAAGGCAGAGGTCGCCAAGGGTGAAGTTGCCAGATGCATCCTCAGGAAAAGAGGGTTTCACCCAAAACCCTTAACCCTAAACCCTAAACCCTAACCCTAAACCCTAAACCCTAAACCCTAAACCCTAAACCCCAAACCCTAAACATGCGCTTGGGAAGCCCAAAAAGCCGCCAAGGTCCAGACGATGCTGAGTGCCACGGTCCTGCCTCGGCTCGCGCAAGAACTTGGAGAAGGCATAAGGGTAGATATAGGGAAATAGAAGGCACCCACGTCCCTCATTCCCTGCTAATTAAGGGCAGGAATAGGGGGATAGAAGGCACCCACTTCCCTCCTTCCCTACCAAGAGCCAGGAGGTTCATCTCCAGGCGTGGCTCGCTTGGTTCTGAGGGGCTTGGCCGCTCTGGTTCACGGGCCCATGACGATTCCACGGCCGGAAAGGCACGGCATCGTCCTTCTTCGCAGAGCCTCTTCAGGAGCCGAGCTTGGTAATTCCCATTTCTTGCTTCTCTGCAGGTACTTTTATTTTTTTAGTACTGGTATTACTACGATTATAATTCGTATATATATATATATATATATTGTTTATAATTCGTACTAGTATTTTTACGATTACTAATTATGATATTATTTATAAGTTGCAACTGTCTCTCCGAAAAATCAGGCCACCTTGCTTGAGCTGATGCGTTCCCAGGGTGTGGCGGTAGCTGAGCCTGTCTTCCGGGTCTGATGCGCACCGACAGCACAGTCGACAGGCCAAGGGTCCCAAGGAGGCGACGCTCAACGATGCAGTGGTTTAGGGTTTAGGGGCTTTAGGGGTTTTAGGGGTTTTAGGGGTTTAGGGTTTTAGGGGTTTAGGGGTTTAGGGGTTTAGGGGTTTAGGGGTTTAGGGTGTTTCTTGCTTATTCGGCCGAGCTTGTTTCTGGATTACACTGGCATGGGCTGGCATGATAGATTTCCTTGCTGCGTTCACAGGCTTTGGGAGCGTCACTTCAGGCCTGTCGTAGTAATAATATAGTAGTACCTAGGTGCACAGAGTGAGACTTTGAGAAACAGCATCATCATGCCTTGACACGTTTTGTAGACCCGACTTATCCAGATATGTGTTATGTTCCATATTCCATCTAGCCCGCAAACATGCCAGCCACGCCGGGCAGCCTCCAAATCGACAGCAACCAGGGACCATACCAGTATCTGGCAAGGGGTTCCGAACCCTAAACCCTAAACCCTAAACCCTAAACCCTAAACCCTAAACCCTACATCAGCTCTCCTGCGGCGTTTGGCAGTCGCCTCTGCACGGGTGGTCAGCGCAACCAGGAACTCGTCACACAGCTGAAGCCGCAGAACGCCACCTCGCTTCAGCAGAGAGCCGCTACTCCCTAAGGCCCCCTAAGCTTCCCAGAGAGCCCAATACTCCTTAATTAAGGAATATATGCCTTAAATGATAAAGAGGGGCTGGCAGAGTCGGGTGCACAGCCGCCTATGCCATGTCTGGATGCAAGACATCACAACAAAGTACTCAAGACCTCAGACAAGTCAGACCATGTTTGTAGTTCGTGTTGCTTAGTGAAAGATACGCTTACACACACAAAACACACTTAATTGGGCAAAGCCAGAGCTACCCCAGACGACGGAGTTTATGGACTCGCAGGTTCGCACCCTCTGTGAAGAGAGTTGTCAGGTTAGGTTCTGGCACCACAACTCGCGAGACTATGTAGTATGCTCCCACGGTGCAACCGTTGTTGCAGATACGTTTGCAGCCCCCAACCCACAGTCACCACCCCCCTGCATAACTACAAAAGCCGAACCCTCGCAAGCAAGCAAGCAAGCAAGCAAGCAAGCAAGCAAGCAAGCAAGCAAGTGTGTGTGTGTGTGTGTGTCTGTGTGTGGGTCTGTGTGTGGATCTGTGTGTGTGTGTGTGTGTGTGTCTCTGTGTGTGTGTCTCTGTGTGTGTCTCTGTGTGTGTGTGTCTGTGTCTGTGTCTGTGTCTGTGTCTGTGTCTGTGTCTGTGTCTGTGTCTGTGTCTGTGTCTGTGTCTGTGTCTGTGTCTGTGTCTGTGTCTGTGGCTGTGTCTGTGTCTGTGTCTGTGTCTGTGTCTGTGTCTGTGTCTGTGTCTGTGTCTGTGTCTGTGTCTGTGTCTGTGTCTGTGTCTGTGTGTGTCTCTCTGTGTGTCGCTCTGTGTGTCTCTCTGTGTGTCTCTCTGTGTGTCTCTGTGCGTGTGTCTCTGTGCGTGTGTCTCTGTGCGTGTGTCTCTGTGCGTGTGTCTCTGTGCGCGTGTGTCTCTGTGTGTGTGTGTGTGTGTGTGTGTGTGTGTGTGTGTGTGTGTGTGTGTGTGTGTGTGTGTGTGTGTGTGTGTGTGTGTGTGTGTGTGTGTGTGTGTGTGTGTGTGTGTGTGTGTGTGTGTGTGTCTCTGTGTGTCTCTGTGTGTGTCTGTCTGTGTGTATGTGTGTCTCTGTGTGTGTGTGTGTTTGTGTCTCTGCATGTACGCGGGACAAGAGAGTGAGAGAGGGAGGGAGAGGGAGAGAGATATAATATGATGATGCAAACCATGTACGTACGTACATCATCTTCTCAGGGTAGCGGTTCTTGTCAACGACCCTATAACATGCAAGCTTCATTTCCGTCCCAGAAAGGCGCATGCGACTGGAAACCTTGTTTGTGTCGCTGCTTCAGGTTCGAGGCTACTGCCAGCGAGGCCGAAGCACACGAGAGCAACAGCACGCAAGATGCCTAAACCCTAAACCCGAAACCCTAAACCCTACACCCGAAACCCTAAACCCTCAACCGCCTGCTTCACCGAGCCATGGGGGGGGCGGGGGCTGGCCTTGCGGAGTCTCCGAACATGCGTTCAGCGGCGCCCGCAGCATCTCGCCGGCCCGGACCTGATAGGGTCCCGGACGTGTTTTTAGTGTTTTCCCAGAGCGCCTTGCTTAAGAGATAGCATAGTAAACGGCATCTCCCGCAAGAAAACACGGAGCTAGATTCCGTGACAGGCCTTACGAGCATGATTGGCTGGGGGCTGCCATCGAACATCACTGAAGAATACTGAAGATCAGCCAGCAGCACTGAGGGGCGAGCAGTGCCTGTAGCCGGGTCCTGGTAGCCAGCGTGACGTGGACAGTAATCTAGCCCTTGTCTTCGCATGATGCCACATCATGCTGGCCTCAATCTCCAGCGTCCGAACGATCACTTCATCTGAACCAGGTGCCCACGAGGCAAACTGGCCAGAGATATCCTTGGTGTCAGAAGAAACCCACCAGATCGCACAAGTACATTGCGATGGCACACGTAAAGAAATGCAGACGAGTACCTGAAAAAGAAAGAACCATCACGTTGCGAGCAGATTGCCTTTAAGCCTCGACTAATTGGGGTGATTGCGCACTTCCTTCGCGTAGGAGGGCAGCCCTTAAATACCCCTTATCCCTATACAAATTCAGGGCCCATATGGGCCCACACATTGTCATACATCAGAACCCTTTAAAGGAGGGAAAGGGGGCAGTTCAGGGCTGCTGTCAAGACGCGCCCGGAGCCATGGCAGAGAATGACCCGAGCCTGAAGAGCAGCAGGAAGACCGCGGTGTCTCTGCTCAATATCCAATGTAGTTCATGATCGAAGAAGCTATACATATACATATATATATATATGTGTGTGTGTGTGCGCGTGTGTGAATGTGCTTTGAAGGTGAAGAACGTTCTGTCTAAGAAAGCAACCAAGTTCTTGCTTTGTGTGCTTGCTAAGCTATGGAACTGCAACCTCTGTTGCCACTGTTGGGCATGCTTCTCAAGCTGCGTTCACAAAACATTCTGCTAGCCGATGTCACAGGAATGGGTCAACTGAGCACGGCGCCACTCGAATGCAAAGGCTCCAAACTGCGGACAAGATGCCCAGAGCCTGTCACAAAACCCTAAACCCTAAACCCTAAACCCGAAACCCTAAACCCTAAACCCTAAACCCTAAACAGCATCAGAGTAGACCGAGGCTGCCCTTGAACAGGTCAGTAGACACCTGTGACGAAAAAGTGGCTCGAGGACGGGCACAGCTGAGCTGCTGCTGGACACCTGCAGAGGGTTCAGATTGGGTTTAGGGTTTAGGGTTTAGGGTTTAGGGTTTAGGGTTTAGGGTTTAGGGTTTAGGGTTGAGGGTTGAGGGTTGAGGGTTGAGGGTTTAGGGTTTAGGGTTTAGGGTTTAGGGTTTAGGGTTTAGGGTTTCCGACATTAGGGGTACCTTACTGTGGTCCTTATTGTAAGGGAATCCTACTATGTGGGATCTAGATTGGGGGTCCCTACTTTCGTAGACCCCCAAATCCTGCTTGATTGGCCATCGCCTCGACGCGTGCGAGAACATAGCTGGCGCAATCGTCTTGAATCACGAGGGAAAGCAAATTCCCCGCCTGTCTTCTGCGCACAAGCAGGCCACAGCGGTTCATTCACATCCGTTCACAAACTGCCTTACCTTGCTTAGCCGGGAATTTGGGCTTCCCCTTGTAATCACTCAAAGGGGTATGAGGCACTTGCTTCCAGTCCATAATTTCCTACGAACTAGCGAGACTTGCAGATCTTGCAGGTGCCTGTTCGGCAGGGGCATGGAGCTGCTGGACATCACAAACGGGAAGGTGAGTGTCTGAGCTCCAACTCACCTGCAGGGACGACATCCGAGCATTTCGGAGGCATGTCAGCTCTAAGGTCTACCTTCGGGAAGCCTAAACCCTAAACCCTAAACCCTAAACCGCCTCGGCCCAGGGATGCAGCGTCCCGGAGTTGTCCAAGGAGGTGGCAAGGAGGTGTTGGGCACCCATGCCTGGGGGGGATTTGGGGGCCCTGTGAAAATTTAACTTTCTATGGGCTATTAAGGGTATATAGGGATTAGAACCCATAGAAATTTATTCTAAGTTCACCCCAGGTGCTCAGGAGTCGAGGAGGCAGTCGAGGGCCGGGAACCCACACGAGGCCGCTGAGGCCGGGGCCTGGGTAGCATGGTGTGATCATTAGGGTTAAGGGTTTAGGGTTTAGGGTTTAGGGCTCAAGGTTGAGGGGGAGGTTCCCTCACAGGGCTCCTTTTTTGCAAAGGGGGGTTCTCTTGTACTCTTGTAGGAAGTGTTTTGGGATGTTCGCCCTTCTATTACCCGTCCTTAATTGGGATCAAAATTGGGGTACTATGATCCCTATCAAGGACTGTTAGTATAAGGGGGAACATCCCAAGAGGTGCTTACAACCCTAAACCCTAAACCCAAAACCCTAAACCCTAAACCCTAAGCTCCCAACAGTTCATGGTACCCATCGCCTGGTCGCTCAGGATGTCACCTGCAGATCTTAGCGCAGCAGGAAAACTGCTTTTTTCGCACAGCGACTAACCTTCTGCATATGCATATACATATATATGTGATCATAAATAAATATAAATATAAATAAATAAATAAATAAATATATATATATATATGTATACATGGCTGTGGGTCTAAATGGGGGTATGTCGCGGTGTCCCGCCCCCCCGCCTGTGTTACATGCGTATGTCGCGCCCACTTGTTTCATACGTATGTCGCGGGGTTTGTCGCGGCTGTTTCGCACGCTGCTCTTGAAGGGTAATATGAAATCCGTACTTCAACAGCAACATAGCCGAACTATAGCCGACTTCTCAACCCTTTAAACCCTCAACCCTAAGCCCGAAATATCGGCCTGCCTGACCTGCACCACAGGTGCCCTCAATTGGCGCGGCTTCTCGCGACACATGAGGCGATCGGAAAACAGGTAAGTATTGGCCAGGGCCACTTGATGACTTGTCGCGGTATGTCGCAGGACATGTCGCGGAGCGGGTACCCATAACCGTTGCATTCAGGGCTTCACCTGCACAGTTCCAAAGAAGAGCTCACAAAAGCTTGCCTGCGTAGCGACATGGCATACTCATATAAGAAGGGGCTTGTCGCACAGGCTTGTCGCGGAGGCTTGTCGCGCAGGTTTGTCGCGGACGCTGCTTGTCGCAAGGAGAACGGCTTTGTTACAAGCCCTATGTCGCGGAAAGACGCCCGGAAGCCAGTTACATACCTAGACTTTTGACTCGCACCCACATATATATATATGTTTTGTTTTTTACATATAAAACTCCTAACCCCACAAGCTTCCACAAACACGTGCCTTCGGGCAGATGATATCGTCCCAGCTCAAACTGCGCACGGGACCTGATCTTCCAGCCAGTGTCACAGCTCCCTCTGCTCGAGCGCGGCATCAACACGTGAAGGTTCATGTAGGCAGATGTAAACCCTAAACCCTGAACCCTAAACCCTAAACCCTATACCACGACTCGCAACTACTCATGAACCTTCAAGCAAGGACCGGGATTCTGCTTAAGTCAGGCGGCTCAGGTATTTCGGCGACCCACACGAAAGATCCGCCGATTCCGCGCAGCAGCAGGGCAACGAAGCCCCAGTAACCATGAAGTGCCACTTCCGCCACAGTCAAAGGAGGCGACTCCTATCCGCTTCACACCGAAAACACAGATCGAACTAGTGAAGCTAAGTATATGATATGCTGTAGACCGTACACGTTGTACCGTACATATACCCCAAACCCTAAGCCCTAAACCCTAAACCCTAATGTTGATCGTCCTCTGGCAGCTCGGGGTCTGCCAGAGAGCAGCATGGAAGCACACCGCCTGGTCGAGGCTTCTGCCAGCTGTAGACATATATATATATATATATATATATACACACATATTGATTGATCTTATTACTTGTTGCAATTTGACCTCAATCGAGTGCTACTCCCTTTCGAATGTCCTCCATCCATGCCTGCGGCTGCTTCCACGGACATCGAGTTGCTGTCGAGGCAGATACGTTGCAAATCGCCGCCTCATCGACAAGGCATATACAATGGTATGCAAATAGATGCAAATAGCCTGTTGGCAGGATAGGGCGCCACGCTTGCGGAGCACAGCCAGACGTCAAAGGAGGCGCTGCCCAGCTCCTTCTTAATCTGAAGGATTCCTGCCATGAAGTTAGGCAGAGTTTGGCGCCCGGCTCAGCTGAATTCAGCTCGAAGCTCAAGAGACTCGAGCCTGCGCTGCCCAAGCTCGTGCTGCAGCGGTCAGGTCCGGCAGCAGGTAGATTTGGCAACTGACGGGAGGGCTCAGGGAATGCAGCGAGAACAACGGAGCACAAACAGAGCGCAGCTGAACGAGCACAAAAGACATGCACGAGCCTGGCGACAGCTCGACATCAGCGGGCCCTGCCAGGCACAGCCTGGTGCGCCCTTGGCTGCCAGCTCGATGTAACAGGTGGTCTCGCCCACGAGCACCTGCAGGCAAAGCGGGTCCTGATTCCCTCTGCCCTGGTTCGAGTCTTTCCCCATCCGACCAGCTCGATTGTGCGTGGCCCTTCAGGCCACGCTTGACCAGATGAAGCATGTCGAGTGGGGCGAAGAGGCAGTGATTCTGAACTCTGGCCCCACCAGTCTCGCGTCTCCTTAACCAGGGCCCAGCTCACAAGCAACGCAGACAGGACGTGCACAGCCCAACTGTCCTGCCTCCGACTGCCCGGCATCTATGCACGGCAGCACCCATGCCATTGCAAAGGCATGGCCGACGTCTGCAGCAGACCAGTGAGCCTCAAAAGCAGTATCAGGAGTGACTCGCATTCCTAGCTTGCAAAACGACTCCACGCGCTTGGCTCCACCGGGGGCTTCCCCTGGGGCTGCAGCTTCTGCTGTGAAACCAGGAACTTCTTCCAGGACGCATTCGCGCCAGACCTTATTGCAGACCAGCGAGGTGCTGAACACACCGTGACACAACTCACGCAAAGGAACGACAGATGACAGCAGCACCTAGGCAGGTCTCAAAAAGTTTTGGCACCGCTTTTGTTTGGGCATCCTCACTTTTGCATCGAAAAGGGCCCCTAAACCCTAAACCCCAAACCCCCAATCCCAAACCCTAAACCCTAAACCCTAAAACCCTGAACCCTAAATTTTGGGGTTAGAGAGCTGACTACTTGACGCCTCTCTGCAAAGCCTCACTCCGAGGGGGCTGCCGTTATGTCTTGCTGCACACCGAGAGTTGCCAGAATCGCGGGCCCGTACCTCACATATCCAAGTATATGCATATCTACATAGTGTGAGATCATATAGTATAGTATATACATATATGTACAAAAAACAAGAAAAAATTCTTAATAAGAACAATAATAATAAAGAAGAATATCAAGCATCGAGAAGAAGAGGAAGTAGATGATAATGATACCATATATACATATATATATGTATATATATATATATACTTATATTTATATTTATTTATTTATGTGTGTGTTTAGTATGGAACGATATAATATATATATATATATATACATATATATATATGGGCGTCCGTGGACGGAATGAAGTCCAAGGAGCAGTGTCTCGTGCAGGCAAGACTATAGGCAAGCAAGGTGGCAACCGAGAAAGGAACGCGTTGCGAAAGCCAAAATCCTACATCCCATACATCCTGCATATACTTCTATTCTACACTGTATACTATGCTCAATACAATATGTATATACTGCGCCGGGCCGATAGTTCGACCCACCAACATCTTGGGGTTCTTACACCCATACCCCACCCTCTTCCCCATAGACTCCTGACACAATGGGGCTGGGGGCCTCCTCCGGAGCTTCTATAGTACTATATTTTCAAAACGGGGTATTAATTTCTCCGCTAGCAGGCGTAGGGAAAACGCTACTTCTCGGCGCTCCGCTACTCCGCGGGAGCCTTCACTGTCTGCATGCCATCCAACATGTGCCGTGGGTCGAAACTTTCGGCCCGGGGGTGCCTTCCGTAAGCACTTTTTGAAGCAGACTCTGGCCACCAAAACGCATGCTGCCTTCCGTAAAAACTTTTTAAGCAGACTCTGGCCACCAAAAACGCATGCTGCTGTCCAAAACGCACGCTGCCTTCCGGAAGCACTTTTTGAAGCAGACTCTAGCCAGAAAAAAACGCACGCTCTGTGCGATGCTGACGCCGGCCAGGTCCTGCGCGCCGGGTTTTTTAGTGGAAACGGCCTTGTGAGGAGCATGACCAGGAATAAAGTTTCGTCGCTCTTGACAAGACAAAGTTGACGGAGGACACCGGAGTATTGCATCATGGTTTTGTTCTAGCCTGCCCAGCGGAGGAATTAATCCCCTGGAATAAACTTATACTGTTTTTAATGTTCCGGAGGAGGACCCGGCGCTATTGGAGTGCAGGAGTCTAAGAGGGAGAGGGGGTTTTCTGCTGTCTTCTTGTCTTATGTTGTGAGTGCGACGAACTTTCGGCCTGGCGCAGCATGCGTTCGGGAGCACTGGTTTTGCCCAAACTTCAAAAAGGTGGGATCTTTTTGAAGCAAACTCTGGCAACCAAAATGCATGCTGCGCCGGGCCGATAGTTCGACCCACCAACATCTTGGGGTTCTTACACCCATACCCCACCCTCTTCCCCATAGACTCCTGACACAATGGGGCTGGGGGCCTCCTCCGGAGCTTCTATAGTACTATATTTTCAAAACGGGGTATTAATTTCTCCGCTAGCAGGCGTAGGGAAAACGCTACTTCTCGGCGCTCCGCTACTCCGCGGGAGCCTTCACTGTCTGCATGCCATCCAACATGTGCCGTGGGTCGAAACTTTCGGCCCGGGGGTGTATGTATGTATATATAGGTAACATAACGTATTGTATCATTTGCCATAAAGTATCATTTGCCATATGGTATATATATATATACATATAGAAAACATCTACAATGCAGATTATATATTACATAGACGACATAAAGCATAGGAAGATGACAGATTCAAAGTATAGAATAATGTACAATAGGTTTCTGTATTTCAGATCTTGGAGCACTGAATGCCCAAAACATACACTATAGGCTATGAGTTCTACACTATACATTGCATGAGGAAAATGAAGTCATAAACTACATATTGCGCGTTACCGCTATATGTTATGAGTTTTTATATATTCTGTTACCGAAATATTCCTATACATACATGCTTATGTATGAGGTCCGACCTTGTATACATGAAATGGCTTCTGAACCCCTCCCAAAAGTTTAACTTCTCGGCTCCTTATTGTAGTCTCTACAAAAACCCAAAAAGTTAAAGTCCTAACAGCCAGCCAGAAGAAAGCCAAGTAATGTTAATGTAGATGAGCCACCCTGGTGCCCAGCTCGCAGCCTGGCAATGCCCCTGCAGAACCTGACGAAGCTGGAGCTGACTTGGGGGGCAAACCCTAAACCCTAAACCCCAAAACCCAAAACCCTAAACCCTAACCCTAAACCCTAAACCCTGACTCTCTTTCGGTCTCTTTGCAGAACAAAAGTATAAGACTTATATAGGGGTTTACGATATTCGGGGGTACTTGCTTGCGGGTCACTAGAAGGGGGCTCCTACTATTTTGGGGGGTCGATATTAGGGGGTCCCTTATGATTGTAAACCCCCCAGATAGAGCTAGAATTGCTCTAAACGCTAGAACCTTAAGCCCTAAACCCTAAATCCTCAACCCTAAACCCTCCACGGCTGGTAGCACCTCGCCACAGCAGCCCAGCACCGTCTCTGTGACGGCGCGGCGGCGGAACTTGCCCTGGGTGATGCTAAGACGCAGCTCAGGATGTTTAGGGCTTAGGGTTTCTAGGGTTCGTGCTCGCAAAGGACATGATGCACATCAGTCCTCCGAAGCCCGAAGACCTGAACCCTGTAAACCCCAAGCCCCGTGCAGCAAACTTTGAGATCAGCATCCGGCCTTTGGAAGCTCGTCTGCCCACCAGGCCCTGACGCCAAGGTTTTGGTTCAGGGCGCTTGGGGCTGATGGTGATTTGGCATTCGGCTGTCTCTGGCCTATAGGCTTCGCGGGGCTTGCGGCTGCAACCCTAAACCCTAAACCCTAAACCCTAAACCCAAAACCTCTAAGGAGGCGTTTGGGATGCTTGCGAAGAGGGCTGCTTCCGCGCCTCACCAGGCCGGTCCGGTGGACCGTGGCCAAAAATCGCTCGGAGGGATCCTTTCTCAGGGCACAATATATGGAAACATAAGCACAAATATAAATACAAATATAGGTATAAATATAAATACAAATATAAATATGCATGTATATATGAATATGAATAAGAATATGAATATGAATATGGATATGAGTTGTGTAGTTGTATATGTATGTATATATATATATATATAGATGTGTATGCTCATATGCGTATTCATTGTCATCTATGCATCTATCTATCTTGACAATCTACATCCAGCGGAAGCGCGCCGAGGTGCTAGATGCAGCTCGACGAGCTCGGCCGCACCCATGGGCTGCCGCGCCGACGGCGCGGAGGCTGCAGAAAAGTGGCCTTCGACGTGGCAGGGCCACACACCTCAAGAAGCAGCTTTGCTTCGGATGGGTGGTTCTCCAACTTAAGGTCCCTTCTTGGGTCCTTCTTTTGCGGCTAGGGGGTACAGTACCGTACTCGGCGTAGGACCCAACAACTCAAAGGGACCCTGATTTAGAGAATGACCCAATGGCACACGCGAAGGTCTCCCCCCAGCTGAGGCGCAGGCACAGCTCCTGGCCTGCTATCAGAAGGTGTGATCTTGCCCAGCAGAGGGCCGTGGCCGGGTGCGTGCCCAACACGTGGCTGCGGAAATGCTCCTGCCTCAGTCCAGGGCCCGTCTCTAAGTATCTTGCTGCAGGTGGTCTAAACTACCTCCCGACACCCCTAAACCACTGCTGTAGCCTGTCCACCCTAAACCCTAAACCCGGACCTATTTTAGGGCCAAGCGGCCCATCTGCTGCGCTGAAGATCTGTACTCGCGCCATCGATCCGCTGATGCCGAGCAGAGCGAGCACAGGGCTCTTCTTGTGCCAGGCCTCAGAACGATGGAGATCACATGGAATATGCTGAGCTAGAAAGCCTCATACTGCCGAATCTGATACATCATGCGGCCTAAACCCCAAACCCCAAACCCTAAACCCTAAACCCTAAGCCTCAACCCTCCCGTCCATGCCAAGATGCTAGAGCATCGCAGCTTTGCTCGAGCCGCTGGGTGCGCTGTAGGGACTCTGCATCGAAGAAGACAAGAAAGGCAGGGTCGTCTCCTGAGAATCTCATACAAAGAACCAAGAACCCTAAACCCTAAACCCTAAACCCTAAACCCTAAACCCTAAACCCTAAACCCTAAACCCCGAAGCCAGCGAAATGTCGAACGGGCCTGTACCAACGGCAATCAGCGGCAGGTTCGGGTGCGAAGCGGAAACCGCGCAGCTTCCTGTCTGCCTGAAGTACAAAGACTCCCAGAGCACATGCACTGCGGGGACGACACGCCGCAACGACACCAGTGCTCCGCCACAAGCCTGTATATATATGTATATATATATATATGTCTCAGGAAATCATATATACTACTGCATTGATATTACAATCGTATACTGTAGCATAATATTCATTTCATGAAGTAGGTTTTATATTCCTTGCCCAAAAGGACACCCAACATATACACTCACCAATATTAAAAAGGAACCTTATACACACTCACCAATAACAGTAATATAAACTCTGTTTCAAAACCCTAAACCCTAAACCCTAAACCCTAAACCCTAAACCCTAAACCCCAACCCCTGAGTCTGTGGCCATTGTCTCATGAGGCGCTCCCGGGAGAGCCCCCACAGCTTCCCGAACGTCCATCTGTTCTGCTGAACTCTGCCCGGTATACGGGGTTTTCGACAGTACAACACCCATATGGGGGTTTAGGGGTTTGGGTTTTGGGGGTTAGGGTTTAGGGTTTAGGGTTTAGGGTTTAGGCTTTAGGCTTTAGGGTTTAGGGTTTAGGGTTTAGGGTTTATAGGGCTAATGGCTTTACTTGGCTTCAACTTTTGGGGCGCTCGGCCATGAGTAAATCGTGTCTTGTAATCACTGCATCTGCACATTCGTAAACCTTTCGGCTTCCTTGCGTTTCCTCGCACGTGCTTTAGGGCATGCAATCGAAACATGTGCCAGAACTGGTAACCAACAGTGAAATAGTCTTGCATTCTGCACGTAGAAAACTATGGTGTCATGACGTGCTGATTTCATCTTCGGTGCATTGTACTGTACCTTTGCTTGAGCAGGCGCAAGTCATCCAGATTGCACGGTGCATGTCTGGAATCACACTACATCTCAGCGGTGTCAGAAGATCGCCTGATGAGCCTTGCAGTATGTACTCAGACGTTCCAGGATAGCTATAGCGGCTTTAGGCGTATCCCAACTATGTCTATAAGTATAGGTACCATACTTATAAGCATAACGCTGCGGGGAATCCAACTATCCATGAACGTTCCAAGTAGCCACTCACGCTTTTGCAGCCGGCCGCCCGATGTTCTGCAAGCACTGAGCTCCAGATCATGGACTCGTCGCATAGCAAAAGCACAAGAATCCTAGGGCTATTATGGAGTTGGCAGAGCCATTATGGGTTTTTTTTCTAGGGTTAGGTTTAGAAGGTGATTCACGCGTACCATAGACCACGTATGGCGCGCGTCCTGAGTATGACGAAAACGAAAAGAATGATCGTCATCACCGATGATGCTCTTGGTACGGCTACCGACTCAATTAGCTAAGTACTCTCTGTCGCCGGAGGGGGGGAGCACCGAACTTCCGAAACATTCTGCGAGATTGTGTTTGTAAAACTATTCTAATAAGCACAACAATTCTAGTACTTAGCACATTTATATTAATGATAACAACTTTAAAAGCCCTCCTATGCTGAATCAAAAAGATAAACACATGACTTCTTCGGCACCGGCTCCAGATGAGGTCTACGTCTAAGTCAATTACAGGAGCAAAGGTTCTTCCCTTTAAGGGAAGGCTTCTTGGCTCCTTCTAGGGAATAGTCACTGGCAGATCCTATCTGACAGTTCTACTTTGGCTAAATTGGAAAACGGGAAGCGGATGGAGGTTACCTGAGCCATGACTGCAGGGCAGGGACCAAGCACAAGCAGACGGTGAAATCTGACGGATAAGGCGTGCACGGTGCCAGGGCAGAGCAACGACTAAATGGAGTATGAAGGCGCTGTTGCCTGAGCCCAGCCCCAAAAGTAGAATTGGAGACCGAATACATACTTGGAAAAGAGGGTATGTAGCCATGGTTCAGCAACATGCATGTTGTATGAAAAGTGACGGCCTGGACTGTTTACAGCTATCTGATACGGAAAGGTTGGATCCAGCATGGCGTGATTGTCAGTAACAAGGCACAGCTCCTTCGTGCCAGAGTGCTTTATTCTAGTGACTGGTGCATGCCGTGTGCCCTAAACCCGAAAAGATTGCACAGTGCAGCTTGAGTCTGTGGAGCTCTGCTCAGCACACAAGCAGCCCAACGCTCAACCCTGCGGAGTACTTGCAGGTTCAGGGTACTTAGTAACCCAAGTAGAACTGTACTTATAACCCAAGTATAACCCTACTCAAGGTACTTAGTAACCCTATTATAACTGTTCTTCTAACCCGATTATAACCCGAATTAGGGTACTTAAGGAGTGCACAGACTTTGGGGCAGCGCGTGGCTCACAAACACACCCCAAAGACAGGATCAGTCTCTAGCTGACCCAGGATGGCCGTTAGTACAGTACCCTCTGAAAATGATCCTAGATATAATCCTTAAATATTCCGAAATATCATCCTAAATCATCCTGCTAAAGCCCGTATGTAGGGGAACATACAAAATGTCCTTAGAGCCTACCGAGACTCAAGAGCTAGCTGAACGCAGCCCCGTCCTTGGGAGGCCTAATCAACACACTTGGACCCCTTGCCCTGTCGAACGCATACGCTGACATACCGGGAAAGTGTCCCTAAGGGTCCATGTACCTCATTATTATATACCTGGGCCCTAAAGTCCCTGTATAGGAGGTACTTTAAGGCCTAATACTAAGTATATAATAATTAGGTACATGGACCCGTAGGGTGTAGGATGACTTCTACGTTTTGCACTCGTACGTGTGCAGCATTTGTAGCTAGCCTCCGCAACACTCCAAAGTGCGACGTTCCAGTGTTCTCAAGTCGCTATAAAAACCCGTGAAGCAAAGAGGGGTTTAGGCTTTAGGCTTTAGGGTTTGGGGTCTGCATCCAAGGCATATGATGCAAGACACGATGGAAGGAACTGTGCGGAAGCAAATGCAGGCATGTGCGAACTCAAGGTAACTTGTGGAGCCTCACACACACTCACACCTTCTCAGCGCTCCGCTTTGACGACTGAACTGCTGCCAATCCCGATCTTCATCCTCAGCATGCACTATAGCCAAGGCATCCGGCGGGGTAGGGGCGAAAGCAGGGCATTAGAACATCTGAAATCCATGACCACGATTGGCTTCCCTGAGTGCTCCACAGGCGGTATTGCCCTGGTCCCAATTCCTCAGAAGTCAGAAGCGCTAGCGACATGTCTCCGACATACGGACAGATCAGGCATAAGCTGCGGGCGTTGACGTCCTTCAAGTACTTGGGAGACAAACCCTTGAGGCAGCTCTCCTGACATGCAGCATTCTAGGGTTTAGGGTTTAGGGCATAGGGTATCTGCTGCGTACCTACCTTGGGGACGAAATGAACCCTAAAACCGGGAACACATCCCTGGATCACTCCAATCCCGGTCTCGTTTTCGTCCCCAAGTAGATTCCTGGATTCCCGGCAGACTTTCACAACATGACGGATAGCTCGGCGACTTCTTAACCTGCTAGAACACCATTTAGGGTACTTGATTACCCTAAATCTTAAAAAACCAAAACCCTAAACCCTAACCCTAAACCCTAAACCCCAAACCCCAAACCCTAAACCCTAAACCCTAAGCCTGTGAAAGACCAAGGCCCATGCAGAGTCGATGCGACTCTCTTTGGAGAAAGAGAATCGCGGGGCTGACTTGGCCTGCACTTTTGGAGCTGCATCGGGTAGTTGTGGGTTTTGGGTTTAGGGCCTAGGGTTTGGAGGTTGTTGTTGTCCGAACTTGGCGGCGTGTTGGATGAAACGCGGCAAGGACCATGACACCTGGGACCGTTGGAAACACCTTTACCTTCCTGGACCTCTTGGGGACCGCCTGGGACCCTCCTTGGGACTTCAACACGCCACAGACCTCAAACGAGCGAGGGCTGAACCCATGCATGGAGAGGTTTGAACTTCCTCATAGGACGCTACAGACCTCCTGAAAAACCTCCCTGCGGATCCCCATGGCGACTTTTGAAATTTAGGGTGCTCAGAAAGCTTTGGGCGGCGTGCTTGGCCCCCTCTGGCACGGTCCGGCAAAAGGAGGGCTGATTACCTTTGCAGCCTTTTACCCTTACAGACCTGTCGCGGACCTCCCAAAGCCTGGAGGTTTTGGGTGCTTCAGCCGGAGGAGTTATAAGAGGTTCTAGGGTTCAGGGTTTAGGGATAAGAGGTTCCATTTATGGTTAAACCATACTTATGACCCCGCTGACAGGATGGTTACAGGGCCCTGTCATCGTTGCAGCAACCCAAGACCGGGCGCTGCACTCGCGTCAGGCGTGAAGCCAACACCTCCGCAGGTGCATTCCACGCATCACGGCGGGTTAGGGCTTAGGGCTTAGGGCTTAGGGCTTAGGGCTTAGGGCTTAGGGCTTAGGGCTTAGGGTTTAGGGCTTAGGGTCTATAGTTTACAGGGCTTACCGTAGGGTAGCAAAGCCAGCCTGCAAGGTTTGCCGGACGCACTGGCAGCTTTCCAACACGAGGTGCGAGAAGCGGCCTCTGTCTGCTTGTTCAGCGGCATACCCACGTCCTAGCAGCGTGCGTTCGGTCTTCAGACGTCTCAACTCCTCGCTCTCTTACAAACTCACGGAGCAGAGGCAAGTAAGTTATACTTTCAGTTCATGGAAGGTTCATGGGCAGTTGCGAGATACTTCATACCTAGCCCTGAACCTCCAAGTATCGTGTCATACTACTTTACACACATGAGCATGTTGAGTCCATCCGGTAGTGGCCCGGCGGAAGGCCCACTGTGGACCTGCGATTTCTTGCGTCGCGACTCAGACGAGCTGTGATGATGTTGTTGATACGAACAATATTCGTGTTCTTCTTCATAGTAATTTCTTTAGAGGTATTGCTGATGTCAATGTCAATGTCAATGGCAATATTACTAGCCTAGCCATATATTTATGTACACACGCACACATCACGAATGTGTTGCACACTATGAATATTACATGTTATTAGTGTTATGCACTATGTTGATGTTCTTACTATTACCGATGCTACCCATGCTTCATGCTGTTCACGCTCATGTTTATTCCTTTTCTGCATACTATTCATATTCTGCATGCTCGTCATACTCTTGATGAGACCCATACAACTCATATTCTGGGCCCTTACACATCTGCCTGGCAATGCGTGGAAACCGCTCTGACCTGGGATTGCCGCCGCAGCGCTAAGCGAACATGGAGGCGTCCAGAGACCGCAAGAGATTCTTGCAAGATGTAAGTGGCTGACTTGGTCATTGTGCAGACCTGAATTTCCACAGACTTTGGTGCGCCAGATGGGTATGATGTGAAGCTCCAAGATCCCAACCGGCTGGCGTCTCTTCGTGCTGTTGCAAGACTCGACGACCTGCAAAACTTTGCGCAGGCTGACCTTATGCCAACAAGCCTGCCTTGAGTTTAAATGACAAGGGAGAAAGGTTAGGTTGAGGGTTTAGGGTTTAGGGTTTAGGGTTTGGGGTTTGGGGTTTGGGGTTTGGGGTTTGGGGTTTGGGGTTTAGGGTTTAGGGTTTAGGGTTTAGGGTTTAGGGTTTAGGGTGCCCAGCCATTGGAAACTCTGACTGGCATTAGACCATCATAAGACCTCCCTGCACCAACAGCACCCTGCAGTACACTTCTGCAATCTTCTGCAGGATTGCGCTTCGACAGGCCCTGCAGACCAGGCGCTCGACGTGTTAGGAACTGAGCATCTGAACCCACCTTGAAACTTGATTGGTCAAGGGGGGGGGGGGGGGTTCCGAAACTAGGGGTACGTTATTGGGGTCCTACTACTTGGGGGTCTACATTTCCCAAAGTGGGGATACCCCTTTTATACCCCACCAGATAGATTAGAACCCCCTTAAAGGGACCCCCCAAAAGGGTACCCCTAAGATCGTAAGCCCCCATACTAGGGGCCCTAACTATCGTTAAACCCCCATAAAGTTCAGGGCTTTTCGACAGCCTTGTCCAGCTCGAAGAGCGTTGGGTACCGAACCTGAGCTCAAGGGTGTAAAGGAGGGGACCCTTGTAAGGACCTTAGGGGTTATTTGGGGGGTTGTTTAGGGGCTCCCTGCTAGGGGTCCTTCCCTATACCCCTTACTGAGGCAATGAGAGGGCAATGAGAGAGCCTTCAACCAAAAAACTGGAACCAACTGAGGGGCTCTCGACCCTAAGCAGGGTCCTAAACCCGTAGTTTAGAGCTCAAAAAAAAACGCCCTCAACCAGAGTTACAACTGAACCCCCTAAACGCTGACCCTAAACCAAAAAACCCTGAAGGCCCGAAACCCTCAACTCACACACGTTCTGGAAGCCCATGGCCCATACTGCAAGGATAATGGCAGCCGATTTCTGCCAAAAACTCCAGTAGTCGGCCACAGAGCGATTACAGCAACTTACGAGCTACGACCTAAGGTTTAGGGTTTAGGGTGTAGGGTTTAGGGATTACAGTAACTTTCGGGCTCTGGTCAGGTAGAATCCCGGGCCGTTCTTGCAGATGTGCTGTCCTGCAGGGAGCGCCAGGTCCTGCCAAAGTCCTGCGTTGCGCTTTGCCACCCCTGAGTCTTACAAGACTTCTCAAAAACGGGGCAGCTGATCAAAGGCTGCAATGGGCTTCCAGCTCCCATCATTTGGTTTAGGGTGGTTTAGGGTTCAGGGTTCAGGGTTCAGGGTTCAGGGTTCAGGGTTCAGGGTTCAGGGTTTAGGGTTTAGGGTTTAGGGTTTAGGGTTTAGGGTTTCCGGCTATATGGAACTCTGTCCAGGCTTCGAGCCCCTCCTTCGTGACCAGCTGCGGCTGCGCCATGTGCCGGGGTCTTGCAAATGGCATCCCCTAAACCCTAAACCCTAAACCCTAAACCCTAAACCTTAAACCCTAAACCCTAAACCCTAAACCGGCCAAGTCAGCGCCAACTTGGTGGCAGGAGCCTCAGAGCTCCTTCGTGACCATTCGCGGCTGCCCGTGATGTGCCGGGGTTCGACTTTTGGTGTCTGCAACCCTAAGGGTCCATGTACCTAATTATTATATACTTAGGCCTTTCAGTACCTCCTATACAGGGACTTTAGGGCCCAGGTACATAATAATGAGGTACATGGACCCTTAGGACAACAGCCAAATTAGCACCCAATTGGTGCAGGTTCTGCAGAGCTGCGTCGTGACCAGAGAAGGCTGCGGCATGTGCTGCGGTCTTGCCACGTACTGGACAGCTGACTACACTACAACATCAACACCTCTAGAACCCCAGGACGGGCAACATGGCATGCACCGCACACAAGTACCCAAGTCCAATTTGTCCGAGCTCGCACAAATGGCCCCTTAACTCTTAGTGTAAAGCTCTCTGAGGCATTCTCAACCATACATAAACACTAAGTCACTAACCCCACCCTGGAAATGCTGAACCCAGACGCTCTGGAAGTCCGAGGTCCGTGCTGCAAGCATGCTGGCAGTCAGTTTCTGCAAAACTCCAGTAGTTGGCAACAGAGCGCTTGCCAGTAACTTGCGGCCTCTGCTACGTTAGAACCCTGGGCTGTTCTTGCAGATGGTTGCGCACGCATCTACACATCTCTATGCAAACGTTCATCAGCACACATACTCCATCAAACATTCTTGCTTATCTCAACATCATGTTCATGTTCTGTCTATTCTCTGAGCCGTGCCCCGAAAAGGACGAGCATCTTGCGATATCTTGCGCTTCTGTCAAAGGCATAACATCGTCCGCAGAAGCCAACGCTTTCCCCCTGTGCCTAGTAGGGAATGAGGGAGTTAGGACCCTAGATATACCCTTGTAGGGAATATATATATATATATAGATAGATATATAGATATGTAGATATATAGATATTCCTCAGTCCCTCATTCCCTACTCAGAACCAGCCAGATTTTCATAAAGAAATCCGCCAAAATGGCGAACAGCCAGTCGCGTGGAGTGTGTCGTTGCCTGTTAAAGTCTTGGACTCGTGCACAAGCGGTAGGACTGGAAGCAGTACTGCCAATGACCTAAACCTATAGTAAACGATAATCAACTACTATATATATATGTATAGAATGTATATGATGTATATTGTAGACTATATGTATATACATATATTGTGTAGTATGATATATGTATATATAGTGTATAGTAGAACTTGAGACTTGGGGTGGAAGATCAGCCACACGAGTTCGGCGAAAGGAAAATGCGGTGCCCGGCTATCTTCTACTGGCACTGGGCTCCTCTAGTGAGGGCAGGTAGCATTCGTACCACACCTCTGTCCCATACCCCCCCTTAGAACCTTAATAAAAATCACATTTTGAAAAAATCCTCTTGGGTTTTATGTGAACAAAAGCAAACAATAATTCCCTAGGGGGATGTAAGCCACTCCTCTGTCCCTTGGCGGGAGAAGCAAACGAAACAGACCAGGCCTAGCGTCGCGTTTACAGCGCTGCCAGGTTTGAGCGGTTGATCCGAGGCTCAGCAGTCACTGTCCTCCTCGCAGCCCTGGGTTTGGGGTTTAGGGTTTAGGGTTTAGGGTTTAGGGTTTAGGGGGAGCGCATGTCACAGCAGGCAGGCATTCTCAGCAAGTCCCCTGATAGGGTGTCGCCTTGGCGTCGCCGCTCCCAGTTGCAGCCGCAGCCTTCTGACAGCAACAACTTTCTGTAGGGTTTCTATGGAGTTTCGACTGAAAGGGCTCCTATAATCTGTTATAATGTGTTTTATAAAACACGAACTTTCTGCAGGGTTTCTATGGAGTTTCGAATGATCGGGTTCCTAGAATGTGCTTTATAAACACACGAACATTCTGTAGGGTTTCTATGGAGTTTCGATAGGGTTCCTATAAGGATGTTCCTATAGGGATGCTACCGGGTTCTATAGAGCTTCCATAGGGCTGCTAGAGGGTTAGTTTCGATATGAAGTAGGGTATATATTTCTTGTACCCCCAAAAGGACACCAGGTATATACACTCACCAATATTAAGAAGGAACCTGATATACACTCACCAAAGACAGTCATATAAACCCTGTTTCGATATGGTTTCTATAGAATCTGTACAGGTGCATACGCTGGAATCACCGCAGCGCCTGACAGCAAGAACTTTCTAGCTAAGTTTGTTTGGTTTGGAGTCTAGGGTTTAGGGGTTTAGGGGTTTAGGGGTTTATAGGGGTTTAGGGTTTTAGGGTTTTAGGGTTTTAGGGTTTTAGGGTTTTAGGGTTTTAGGGTTTTAGGGTTTTCGACCTGGGTTTGGAGCTAGAACTCCCTTGTAATAGTCGTGTAGTTTAGGGACGTACTGCTAGTTACCAGCTTGGCCCTTTAAAACCTTCTGAAAAATATTCCTACAATTTCCTACAATATCAGCCTGACACATCTGGCATGATTGCTTGGCTGTACAGCATACTGGCGTAATGTTAGCACACACGCACACACACACACAGACACGAGCGATTACAGGCACAGACGCTGGAAGTGCTCAGCGACACTGCGAGTCAACCTTGTTTTGTCCGCTTCGACACCTGAAAGTCCAACGCTTTGGATGGGTGAACTTTGCTGTATTCGGTTGTCGAGGCTACCCACAAAACACGAATTTCTACAGCGACTCTACAGTACAGAACAGGATGTCAGCCAGTCCTCTTAAGCTTTCGGTAGTCGAGTGGGAGCGTGGCGAAGTAGGCTGCCGGAGAGGTCTCGCCAGCGGCCCACTTCCTGATGCTTGGAACGGCTCGTTGCAGCAGGTGTCGGCATGATGGCGGAAATTGCTCGCCCTAAACCCTAAACCCTAAACCCTCAACCCTAAAACCCTAAACCCAAAACCCTGCCACCAAGCAACTGCGCCGATTCTAGCTCCGCCTCGCTCATTCCCAATGAGAGTGCTTGCTGGCCCCGCTCCTTGCTCAGCAAGTGGGCAGTCAACAACTCCTGCCGCCAGATCCCGAGGGTTTCGGGTTGAGGGTTCAGGGTGAGGGTTTGGGGTATCTAGGGTTGGGGGTCACATGCCGTTTACTCCGATAGCTCAGCTATGTGGCTCAACACGAAACGAATGAAAGACATTTCAAAACAAGTCCGTTGTGACAGGCACAGCTGTGTAACTACACAGAATGGGCTCAGGGCTGGCCCTTAAGCCCTCTTCCTATTTATGTTTTAGGGTTTAGGGTTCAGGGTTCAGGGCTTAGGGTTTAGGGTGTGTCAGGGGAGAGCGCGCGGTGTGAAACACCCCGGGCCGCGCGCTCGCGTTTCCCGTCAACCCACCCCGGTCACCCAAACTATACTCTATTAGGGTTTAGGGTTTTTGAATTTTTCTTGTGCACCGATGCTTGCTTTTATGTTTTTAAAGTTGCGGTGTTAGGGTTTCAGCTGGGGTTGGGGGTAGCCTCGGCCCTTTTCGGGCCTTCGGCGTGCCAGGGCCCGTAGCGGTCCTTACTTACTTGAAGGTCAAGGAAACCTTGATTTTTTTGGCCCATGAGTATTCAATTCTTAGAAGTTGCAGGGCTAGGGCTTAAGCTGGGGTTCGGGGTAGCCTCGTCCCTTTTCGGGCCTTTGGCACGTCAGGGACCATAGAGGCCCTCAATTACTCAGGCAGCAAACCCCAGGCTGGAAGGGTTCAGGCAAACCCTGAACCCACAACCCAGAACCACCTCCAGAGGCAAAGGGTTACGATTTGGGGTTTTACTTTGACTACGCTAAAGGGACAGACGGTGAGGCTTATCCCTCACCTTTCCGTTTCTCTTTCGCTTGGGCGCTCGGGCTGCAAGGCCCTCAGCCGAGCGTTCGGGGTCTGTCGCTCGACGGAAGCGACCCCTCACTTAGTTTAGGGTTTAAGGGTTAAGGGTTTCGGGTTTAGGGTAGTTTAGGGTTTAGGGTTTAGGGTTTAGGGTTTAGGGTTTAGGGTTTAGGGCCGACAAGAGAAAATATGAAATGTCCCAAGGGCCTACCGAGGGTTTCAGTGGATTCTGGGCTGTTGAGCTGCACCGAGTGCTAAGCAGCGGCTTTGCTTCGTAAGCAGAGCTGATCTTCGTTTAAGCAGAGAAAGCCCCTAAACCCTAAACCCTAAACCCTTTAAACCCTTAAAACCCTTAAAACCCTTAAAACCCTTAAAACCCTTTAAACCCTTTAAACCCTTTAAACCCATTAAACCCTTAAAACCCTTAAAACCCTTTAAACCCTTTAAACCCTTTAAACCCTTTAAACCCTTTAAACCCTTTAAACCCATTAAACCATTTAAACCCTTTAAACCCTTTAAACCCTTTAAACCCTAAACCCTCCTCCATCAACGATGTCCCCTCTGGCAACTCCCAGCTTGCTGCTGAGAGGCATGTAGAAGAGCTGGCGGCGCTTCCTCGTCTTCCATTTGTGGAAGGAGGAGCTTTTGGTAGTCATCAGCCGTCAAAGTGGCCTTACTGTTCGAAACAAACTTGCAACACGCGGCACTGGCCGCGCAGCCCTTCACACGACCTTCAAAAAGTAAATCCTCCCCTAAACCCTAAACCCTGAACCATAAACCCTAAACCCTAAACCCTAAACCCTCATTTTCAGACAGGTCGCCATGAAGAAGAAGCTTGTCCAGAAGCCCTGCGTTGCCGAGATCTGCGCAGCCAGCTTTTGCTCCCAAGCAAGGAAGATGGGTGGAGGGAGTTGACCTCCTGTGCAACTGTCCTCCTTAGTCAGGGTTTAGGGTTTAGGGTTTCGGGTTTCGGGTTTCGGGTTTAGGGTTCAATGGCAAGGGAAGCAAAAAAGCACATTGGGCGCAAGGGCTACTCTGGCCCAGAAGGCTTCAATCTTACTGCCTCCGAATGGCAAACGGATGCAGGAGAAATCTTTGCACCGCAAACCGTCTTTCCTCTTCCAGGTTGAAAATCGAAACCTTGGGGCATCAGATTTGCAGGGCGACTCTGCGGACTTTGAGCCTTGCACTGTGACGTGTATCAGCTCAGCGCATGGCCATAGACATGGCAAAGCTGACAAGTCTGAACCTTGGAGCATGGCGAAGGCAAACAAAAATCGCAGGCAGGTCGAGAATCAGCGATGTACCCGCCATGCTCGTGCCATCGCTAAGCCATCGGAAGTGTGCATCAACGGTCTGCGGGTGGGGGTTGGAAATGGTTTAACTGAGCTTCTTCAGGACTAGCGCCAAAGCCTCAGTGGCCTTTAGATGATACAAGGAATCCTTCATCTCGCATGCGTGTCTGTGAGGGACATCGCTCCTTTGAGCAGCGCGGAGCGCGGAAACCGACTGTAGAGTATTGGACCAGTTCACAAAGCACTGGGCATGCCCTGCAAAATTTCCTCGTGACGGCAGATCCGCACGTTTCGGATGTTTAAGTCTGAGGCCACTGTTGCAGTGAGAAGTCCACCACGATAACCTTCGACACGAACTCGATTTGGGTTGTCTTGATGGCCAGAACAATAATGCCGAAGACGCCTGACATGGCTGCGGCTCGGCCCTTTCAGAGAGGGGATGGGGGGGGGCCTTCCAAAACTGGGGGCTCCTAGAAGATTCTAGCATCCTTTGGGGGTATAAACCCTAAACCCTAAACTCTAATTAAACTAAACCCTAAACCCTAAACCCTAAACCCTAAACCCTAAACCCTAAACTTAAACCCTAACCCCTAAACCCTAAACCCTAAACCCTAAACCCTAAACCCTAAACCCTTGGGAAATGCCAAACATGCACTCAAAGCCCACAGGCCTCCAGCAACATAACCAAGGGCCTCGAAGACCCCCGCGACGTACTGCATATTCGGGTTGAAGAATCTCTTACCTTCACATGCCACATTAGGATTTAGCCTTAAGAACCCAAAACCTACCTTGTTTTGTAGGTAAGCATTCTATATAAGTTTTTATAGCAGTCACCCACCTAAACTGTAGTCTTTGGGTTCTTAAGGAGGGTTTGGGGTTTAATGCTGTTTTGCCTGTGCACCATCGTAGATTGCTGTCTGCTTCAGAGCTCTCAGTCCGCGAGTCTTGACTGCGGGCGAAGTTGCTTTCCTTCATCACCTTCGTAACACGACGCGAAAGCCGCGCCATGGCAACATTGCGCAGGAGCCTTAGGATGAACACCAAGAAGAGGGACTGGTGATTGGGTTTCTTTGGCATGTTTGTCCTAATACTCTCTCTCTGTCTCTCTCTCCCGCACGCTTGGCCCCCCCCGAAGGGGAGCCGCCCCGAATACTCTCTCTCTGTCTCTGTCTCTCTCTCTCGCTCCCTTGCTTACAAAAATCGCTAACTATTTGCTGCAGTGCGCTGCATGCACGACCAGCTCGCAACGTCTTCCATAGCATTGGCAATCAGGACGCCCATGTATGAGATTTTGGGTGTTTGCGTCCACATGAGTAACCTGGCGTGGCCAAACTCTCTGCTCAGAAGTGTGGCCAAACCGCAGCCGAACATGGAGCGCAAGGGGACTGGCAGGTACTTACGGCTCTTGCTCGGCACATGCACCTGTAGACGAGAACACTCCAAAACCAGCCAAGGGCAATCAGCTCGAAATAGGCCACATAATATCGCATCTGATTCAAGGGCCTTTGTCACAAACACTCTGAACAGCAATCACAAACCTGCAGCATAAGGAAGCCGGCACATAGCCTGCACTTAGGGTTTTGGGGTTTAGGGGTTTAGGGGTTTAGGGTTTAGGGTTTAGGGGTTTAGGGGTTTAGGGTTTAGGGTTCAGGGTTTAGGGTTTAGGATGATTGATCCAAGATTCTCTTGTGGATGGCGCGGAGGCAATGACTTGAGGTTCAAGTACATGCCTGGTCAGCATCCCACAGGCACAGTGCATTGGGCAGTTCTCTAGATCATTCTTTGAGCTACCCGAAAGATACAACCCTAAACCCTAAACCCTAAACCCTAAACCCTAAACCCTAAACCCTAAACCCTAAACCCTAAACCCTAAACCCTAAGGCTCAAAATGTAGAGAAAACCCTTTTTTTAACTCAGCTGTTGGCTCGAGCCTCCAGTGGTGATCACGGTTCGGGCCACTAGTGCCATCCCGGAGAGACTACGCATCGTCCGGCTCTTGGACACAATGGCGTCGAGCTGGGACATGTCTGTTGAACCTTGTCCCAGTAGGGTTTAGGGTTTAGGGTTTGGGGTTTAGGGTTTAGGGTGTAGGGTGATTTCGGGCTCCTCCCTCTCAAAACCTCCACTCCGAAACTCCAGGAATGCCTCAAGTCTCCTGGGGACTAGAGGAGCAGCCCCGAAAGCCCCGAGAGCCTGCGGAAAATGTGAAGACTTTGGCTGAAGTGAGGCGCTTGCTTCGCTCAGCTTCACGGCAGTGCTCTAGCTCCAACAGCAAATTCTGAAGAAAAAGCGCACCGACGTCAAGAAGAAGATTACCATATGAGGGTTTCCGAAATTAGGGGTACCTTATTGGGTCCTTCTTATAAGGGGATCCAACGATTTGGGGGTATATTGGGGGTCCCTTATCTCCTTGAACCCCATATTGTTTACCGATGCATCACACGTTTATCCTTAATTAGCGGCGAATTTTTGTCAGGCATGCTGCCGCCCCTCGCCAGACCGGGGAAGAAGTTGTCCTTGCCCAGGGTCGTGAAGTAGAAATAGAGGTCCTCCTAAGCTGCCAGGATCGTGCCATGTGCGCATACGTTGCAGGTCTGCCAAGGCATGACAAGACATGGGCCTTACAAAAATAGGGACCCCCGAATGTAGACCCTAATATATCGTAAAACCCCCACAAGAAGGCATGACGGGGCTCATATCTGTCAGGGCCCAGCATGAGCGCCTCTCTTGCTAGACGGTTACTTCCTTCCTGCGCCAGCACGAGCGCATCCATAACGGCCTTGCGCCAGGAGTGCGAATGCGTGGGACGTGTTGCTGTTAAGAATGTCGCAAGAAATGGATGGTAAGGCGTGGTATGCGGAAGGAGCACCTGCCATCCAGAAGCGAAGAAGAAGAGCTTCAAGCCCACGTCCAGCCACAAGGCATTGCGATCCAGGAACTTGATCCCATCTATCTCCGATGAGAGATGGTCGAAAAGCAGCTGGTAGGTGCACTGATACAACCTTGGCCAGCGCCCCACCCTAAACCCTAAACCCTAAACCCTAAACCCTAAACCCTAAACCCTAAACCCTAAACCTAAACCATAAACCCTAAACCCTAAACCCTAAACCCTAAACCCTAAACCCTAAACCCTAAACCCTAAACCCTAAACCCTAAACCCTAAACCCTAAACCCTAAACCCTAACCCTAAACCCTAAACCCTAAACCCTAACCCTAATCAGCTCACAATCGAATGCTAAGGGTGCTCTCGGGGCACGGATAGGCCACCACCAGCCATGTCACAGCGCCGATTAATTTCAGCCATTGTATTGTCATGGCTTTCACTGCACCGAATAGGAGTTGGCTGAGTTTACGTGCGATCTGATTGTTGATGACTGCGTGCTACTGTCATTCGAAAACCATCTACGACCTCACCAAGCCATCATCTCCTCGCCACTATCCTTTTAAAAGTTACTGTCCTTTTGTTGAAAAGCTCCGTTATATTATGAGAAAGAATTGCGAAAGACCTCTCATGATGCTCTCGGGTAAGCTGGAAACGCGTCGTGCGCCATGGTTCCATCGTGAACGCATCTATATACTAAGATCCATCAGCGACTCTCACGGGTGATTTCTAATATGGTAAATCAAATTGCAACATTCAAGTATGATGTATATATATATATTTATATTTATATTTATATTTATATATATACTTATATTTATGTATAGGGAATTCTCCAAATTAGAGTCCCTTTTGGGATTAGTACTCTAAGGCGGGCTGACCAAATAACCCTCGCGCCTTGAGCTCCTTGATCTTCTTCCGCTTTCTTCGTTTGATCTCACCTTTTTTGCGGCAGACACCACTGCTAGATTGGGGAAAGCAAGTCCTGGTTGCAGTTTAGGGGTTTAGAGGGATTTTTGGGTTTTGGGGTTAGGGTTGCATGCACCTCTCCTCGAAGCGCCGCATGGCGACAAGCAACTAGCTAGAAAACAGCAGAGGTGCCTAAACCCTAAACCCTAAACCCTAAACCCTAAACCCTAAACCCTAAACCCTAAGCCCTAAACCCTAAACCCTAAACCCTGAAGAGGCATTCCAGGCACAACACAACATCCGCAGGCCTTTGCGGCAGAGGTGGCAGTATGGGCAGTCGTCACCTCAGACGCCGCAAAGGAAAGCACACTCATAAAGTCCCTAAACCCTAAACCCTAAACCCTAAACCCTAAACCCTAAACCCTAAACCCTAAACCCTAAACCCTAAACCCGTGTACAACCATGCAGCAAAAAATGCGGCTCCTTGCAGAAAGCTGAGCACACTGCTGTTACGGCATCCATCTGGCTTGTACAAGAAGTAGGCGCAAGGCCTCAGGCTCTAGGGAGTTCGGGGGGCCTGAGCGCTGCAGGATCTGCGCAGGATCCTAAACCCTAAACCCTAAACCCTAAACCCTAAACCCGGAAATAAGTGCAAGAGGGCCCGCACTTGCACTCGCCCCGATTGTGTGCCGCTTCCATGTTGGGCCACCTTGGGTGTCTTGGACGCCATGCATGGAGGTAGCGAAGTAAACGCAGGCCACCCTGGCTATTGGGACCACCGCAGACAAAAGCCACCTGGGGGTTTACGATCACAAGGGACCCCCCAAAAAAAAAAAAGCAGTGGGATCCCCTTATACTTTACTGCCTTACAGTACGAACCCCAAGAAGGTACCCCCCGAATATCGTAAACCCCCCACAGAAACAGTTCTCCAGGACCGTGGCTTGGTGCGCCAAGCTGTAACGCACATGACCGTCGGCGCTGACTGCCACGGATCTGAGTTCCAGCCACAATGAGAGGCAAGAGAGAGAGCTTGAAACTTGCCAATCAGGCTTGCTGTTGGTTAGCAGGGAATGAGGGAGCTAGGGTTGAGGGTTTAGGGTTTAGGTACCTCCCCCCCACTACTAACCAACAGTAAGCAAGCGTCCCGAAGTGGAACGGGCCGAGGTTGGGGCTCTGCGACGAGTCACCATCATCAGAGGTCATTGAAGACATCACAGGTAGGTTGTAGAAGGTGTTCTTGATCTGACAGCATGCTGCTTTCCGGTCCCACTGTGTGAAACAAGCATCTAAACCCTACACCTAAACCCTAAACCCTAAACCCTAAACCCTAAACCCTATACCCTAAACCCTAAACCCTAAAACCCTAAACGCAAAGTAAGAAGAGCCTCCAGTTGCGAAGTCAGGTCCTCATCTCACAGTCTCATGCCCACCCGGCAGCCCGCTTCACAGAAAGGCAACTTGAGAATCTTGGGGTAGTTGCATGGTCCCTTAGTATGGGTTTAGGGTTTAGGGTTTAGGGTTTAGGGTTTAGGGTTTAGGCCCTTAAAAAGGGACCCCTTATGATCCCTTATGTACCCTATCAAAACCCAAGGGCCCTTACTTCAAGAAGCCCACATGAAGGGACCACGCCAACTACCCTTAGAGAAAACCCTAAGGGTCCATGTACCTAATTATTATATACTTAGGCCTTAAAGTACCTCCTATACAGGGACTTTAGGGCCCAGGTACGTAATAATGAGGTACATGGACCCTTTCAGAGAAGCTAGGCCCATGGCCACCTTGCCCAGGAACACGTCCTCTTGCAACTGCTCATCATACTCATCCTGTCAGAATCCGGAGAACTGGAGGCTGAAAAAAGTGCTCGAATAGGGTTTAGGGTTTGGGGTTTAGGGTTTAGGGTTTAGGTTCCTATTTTGGGGTACTTATTTAGCAGGGGATCCGCCTATTGGGGGTTTATTATGGGGGGTCCCTGATTTTGGTACACTCCCACATGCCACTGGAAGTAGGCTTCCGGCAGCCCAGTCCAACAACTGCCTCAACACCAGCGGCACTAGGGCTTGCCCCCGACTACCTGGAGGTTCATGGTACTTCTAACCCAATTCGAACTGTACTTATCACCCACTGATAAGCCCTTTAAGTACCCCAAATCTGGCTATAGTTGGGTTAGAAGTACAGTTAGAATTGGGTTATTAGGTACCATGAACCTCCAAGTACTCGACAGAAGGCATGGTATCAAGCTGCACCGTGTCTGCAGTTGGGGCACGCAGGCATAGGGACGTCCATGGCAGCCTGCTGCGCCGTGTATGCCTCAACTCTCCAAGGTTTAGGGTTTAGGGCTTAGGGCTTAGGGTTTAGGGTTTAGGGTTTAGGGTTTAGGGTTTAGGGTTTAGGGTAAAGAAGCCTTTCTGAGGCTCCAGCCGGCTCCTCATCTGTCTGCTGGGGCGCGGAGGATGAGGACGAAGCCCCTACCGCATGTAGCCTAATATATGAAGTAGGGTTTGGGGTTTAGGGTTAAGGGCTAGGGTTTGGGGTTTAGGGTTTAGGGTTTAGGGTTTAGCGTTTAGGGTTTAGTATATACACTCACCAATATTAAAAAGGAACCTTATATACACTCACCAAAAACAAAAACACAAACCCTGCTTCATATGATGCAGGAAGCCAGGCTTTCGAGGCCGTGGAAACAGCTATCCTACCAATTGCTTCAGAACCCCCCCAAAAAAACACATAAATAACTAAATATATATATATATATATGTATATGTATTCTTCCTCATAAGGGTAGTATAGGGATTAGTATTTTGGTTTTTTGGGGGGTTTCTTATTCAGCAAACAATCGTATCAACCAAAAACAAGTTAAGATACCTCGCTTCTTCCAACTACTCGTTGCACATTTGCACCTGCCTCCACGTGTCAAATCCTTTGACTCCCGCGACGACGTACGGGGCCTGCGAGGTTTAGGGTTTAGGGTTTAGGGTTTAGGGTTTAGGGTTTAGGGTATCCCCAAGCAGGAGAGTAGTAGCACAGCTGCTTCTCCCGACATCTTGAAGCCCGGGGCCCTGCCTGGAGAAAAAGCTTTCGACGAAGCCGGACATCTGTCAAACGACCGTCCAGAAGGCTTGATCGCAAGGATCTGAAAGCTGTATCACAGTTGACGTCCTAGATTTGGGTCAAGATGTGCATGTGCCAAGTCGACCAAGCTGATGGAACCCGTCATGCAACAAGTAGCTAGGTGTGAACACTGACGGTGTTTTTGGCTTGAGCCTGAAGCCCACGTGCGGCCATCAATTTCAAGTCACTGTAAGGAAGCAGATCGGTTTCACATGCATGCACGGATTGCAATAGAAGGGCCAACTATACGTCACATGCATGGCTGCGTGGCGGGATGGCTGGCCAGACACCCACTGGGCTGGCACATGTCTCAGCCATGACGAGCAGTCTACAGCAGTACCCACACCACTTGTGCATGGCACGCGACACGCGATAGACTCTGCCACTTTGTCCTGCACGAGCACAAGCATGCAGTCGAACTGGTTATCGTCATTACTACTGGATTGTGAGCTCCATTCTATTGTCACTCTTGTTGCTATTCCTATCATTCTCAAACCCAATGCTATAACGACTGTCCACGAGAAGTGAATTCTGACTTCCTTGCCATGAAGGCATGGCACACGCGTGTACCAGAAACGTTGTCGGCTTGTGTGCGTGCTGAACAGACCAGCCTGCTTTGAAGACTAGGATGACTGAAGGCTTCAACAACTTTGGCAATGTGGCTATGTTGTCTACTACCCATTTGTTGATGAAGCAGCTGCACAAGTCAACATCGCGGGATGTATGTATAGCAATGCATGGTGCACGAGGTCGCCCTCATACATGTCACGCTGGAGCGGAGCGCCCACGCTTTGCGGGGGTAGCCCACAGCAGCCCAGCCAGAAGCGGATCGACGAGTCGACGCTGGAGGGCACATGTAACAATCAGTTGCCCTGTATCCGCTTGAACACCCAGAGTCTTGCTGTATCGCGGCTATGCCCCTCTTGCAAGTAACTAGTCTCTGGTCAGCCAGATGATCAGATGTGGGACTATTTTACATCCTAGACAGTGGTCAGAAAATTCCTACACCTGCACTTCACTAAATAGCAAATGGCACAACACCGAGGTGGTTCGTCATCTTCCCTTCGAGAAGAAGTGAGACGCGTTGTGGAACTCAGTGGGCTACAGCTGGAACCTTAGAGGCCAGAAGAAGCTGGAAGAAACTGTCGGCCACGGATGACCACAGGAAAAGACGAGGCGGCCGCAAGTCTGTGCCATCATCACTCTCAATATCAATCATGCCAGGAAAAATCGCCTTAGATTTGAGGCCAAGCCCATCAACGCACGAAGCTGGTCGGCCCAGGCCAAAAAAAACGAACTGGTAGGGGGGTGCACAGCAAGCAGCCTTGTCCTTCAGCTCGTTCTCCTGCCAAGGCAGCACTTGCCTTCGTGTCACACTCCCAACCGAGCTCCCGCACTCGACCAGCCTGGATCACAAGCTTTCGCTTTGCAGCACTGCTCCACGTATGTTCCGCACGATTTGCCGCCTTCAGCGTCCACATCTTCTCCCGTTCCCAAAACCCTCGAAAAAGCAGCTGCTGCTTGGCCAAGTAGTTCCGATTCCGTGCCTCTGTCAATCCCTTCAGCTCACCGGCCAGTATTCGACCCACCTTAGCGGCAAAGTTGAGTTCATAACCCTGCCAACCCTATGTCCATATCCGATGTCTATGCCAGCTTAAACAAGCTTACGCAAACCTTGCATCCTGCGAAGATCAGGCCATGGCTTGATTGAGTCTTGCCTGGATCAGATCCGCTTGTTGGTTCATGTGCCTCCAAAGCACATCACGCCGCATAGAAGCCGGCATTCTGCGACCCTGAGCCCTAAACCCTAGCCCTAAACCCTAAACCCTAAACCCTGAACCCTAAACCCTAAACCCTAAACCCTGGCGAGGCTCCCAGCCTCATCCTCTCCACCCATGCCTTTGACATCTTTTTGTTCTTTTCGAGAATCGTGATGAGCCGGCAAAGGTCAGCTCCTGCCGGGGCCCCAAGCCGCTGCTGTGTCCCCAAGGTTTAGGGTTCAGGGCTTAGGGTTTAGGGTTTAGGGTTTAGGGCAATGTGAAGCGACCAGAACTCGGCAGGGTCCTTTCGCTTGCCCCTTGACCTGCACGGCTCTGGTTGCTTTTGGTGGGGGGGGTAGGGTTTAGGGCAATGTGAAGCGACCAGAACTCGGCAGGGTCCTTTCGCTTGCCCCTTGACCTGCACGGCTCTGGTTGCTTTTGGTGGGGGGGGGGGGGGGGGGGGGGGTGGGGGGGGGGGGGGGGGGGTGGGGGGGGGTGGGGGGGGTGGGGGGGTGGGGGGGGGGGTGTGGGGTGGGGGGGGGGGGTGGGGGGGGGGGGGGGGGGTTGTTCCGAATATCGGAGCTAAACCCTAAACCCTAAACCCTAAACCCGAAACCCTAAACCCTAAGCCCTAAACCCTAAACCCTAAACCCTTTGGGAAGGGGGGAGGTTCCTTCTCACCAGGATTCGGATTCGAGTGTTTTTTGTGGTAGGGACCCGGCCTTGAACAGCCCACTCAAGAACTCCATTGGGCTCAACGCCCCGCTCCTTAAATCATGTCTCCGTGGCCGGGTCTGAGACCACCGAGGTTTGGGGTTTGGGGTTTGGGGTTTAGGGTTTAGGGTTGAGGGTTTGGGGTTTAGGGTTTAGGGTTTAGGGTTAGGGGTTGCAATACTGCAGAGGCTCTTGTCCACATCCATCATCTCGAACCTTACCCGCAAAGGATTTGTCAAGACTGTCTCGCCTTCACATTCTGAAGCGCAGAGTCGCACAGCACTTCCCTAAACCCTAAACCCTAAACCCTAAACCCTAAACCCTAAACCCTAAACCCTAAACACTAAACCCTAAACCCTAAACCCTAAACCCTAAACCCTAAACCCTGCTGCAAAGCAGCAGGTTCTCAGCTTCCACCGCCCCAACTTCGAGAAACTTGAGTTTCTCTGTCATGGGACCCGTCCTCTGCGTCAGGGGGTTTAGGGCTTAGGGTTAAGGACCGGTTGAGATTGAAACAGTTCCAGGGTAGAGGCAGCCGTCATGGCTCGTCCTCAGCACTTTGCGGAACTCTTTCAAGTCCAGCTCGCCGTTAAAGTCGGCATCGCAATCCTTAGCCCCACATCGCGCAGGACACCGGCAAGTTGAGCACTCAGATCTCGGGTTTAGGGTTTAGGGTTTAGGGTTTAGGGTTTAGAGTTTAGGGTTTAGGGTTTAGGGTTTAGGGGAGTCCCGTCTTCACAACTCCAAGTGGCATCAAACTCCTTCAGCATGGACACCATGAGCATCTTTTCAGACTTGGCGATCATGGCAACCTTGCTTTCCTGCGCAAGCAATTCCGGGGTCAGCGCTGGTTCAGGGTTGAATCGGGTTCGACTACTACTATTTGCTTAAGAACCCCAAAAGAAAAATCATAATCCCTATATTACCCTTAATAAGGAAGAATGTTCTTATTTGTTTGGGGTTCTTAAGCAATTGGTAGACTACTTGGCTGTTTAGGATTAGCAGCCGGACTCGCGCAGCATGCACTATCAGCGATTCAGTGCCAGTCCTGGGTGTCCTGTGAAATGATGGTCATCCTAGATGCATCTTGTGGGCACATCAGGCATCGAAACCAAAATCCGTGAGCTCTCATGTACAGCTGACTCTGGAATCTGAAACAACATCTCGCGTGCGACGGACGTCTGGGTCGCGAACCTCTCCACCTCGGCGTCCCCAGCTGGTGGCGAGGCTTTTTCAACACTGATCCGTCGAAGAAGCATAATTGAGAACATGTTGACTTCGAGCATCCCCAACAAGACCCCCAATTCAATGTATCACGCACCAACATTAATAAGAACCTTTTGACACATATATACATATATGTAGAGATAAACATAGATAGATATAGGCATACACTCACCAAATTTCCATCCTATACCACCTTTGAGTTCTCATGTGTTCTCAGGTGACCGCCATGATAGCTAGGAGGATGTTCAAGGTTCCAAAGCTCAGGATCAGCATGGTCAGATAGACAACCTTAGGCGCGCGTGACGAAAGGGTTTAGGGTTTAGGGTTTAGGGTTTAGGGTTTAGGGTTTAGGGTTTAGGGTTTAGGGTTTAGGGTTTAGGGTTTAGGGCTTAGGGTTTAGGGTTTAGGGTTTAGGGTTTCGGATCCAAACAGGATTCAGCTGAAGAGCGATGAGCCCGAGCGGTGCATAGCTCAGAATTGGTCTCAAGATGGGCTCGTGGACACTGTCCATGGTCATTATCTGGCAGTCAGGGCAGCAGCTGCGATTTCGGCACGTGTGAGGTGTGTCATACCCTAAACCCTAAACGCTAAATCCTACACCCTAAACCCTAAACACTAAACCCTAAACCCTATGTGTCTTTTCGAGGACCAGGCCTGCAGAATGGTGTACAAGGACCTGAAGCAGCCGGGAAACCGGGAAATTTCGGAGAACCAGAACGCTCCATGGATACCTGTAACAACTATATGGTTACTTCTCTATTTAGGGTTTAGGGTTTAGGGTTTAGCCTAACCCCCTCTCCGGCAGCCCAACAGGTGGGCAAGTTTGCGGGCACCCCCCCCACCTACTTCCCCCCCCCCACTCCCCCCACCCCCCCTCTAACTTTGAGAGCTGGCCATTTCACTTGGGCCCTAAAGCTACTGTATCGGAACCCTTCTAAGGCCCCAGTATAAACCCTAAACCCTAAACCCTAAACCCTAAACCCTAAACCCTAAACATGGACCCCTTAAAAAAACCGTGCAAGTGTGAGCCAAGAGGCTGGGAGACAGTTCCACAGTAGAGGTCCACATCGAGCCAGAGCTCCCTAGCTGCCTTGGTGGCACCACCCTCTGCAACTCTACACCCAGTGTACTACTTACTAGCCCTAAACCCTAAACCCTAATGTTGGACCTGCTTTATTAGGGGGGGTCGCTTTAAAGTCAATTTGGCGGAATTATTCAGGACCCCCTCACTGTTTGAGGGGTCCGCTTTAAAGTCAAACCGTCCGGGCGCCGTAAGAAAATTCCACGTGGCGCGCCTTTAAAAAAGATAACCGGGCATTGCTGCCCCTTTTAAACATATCTAAACTCCACCCTATTAAAATCATATAAGCCCCCGGGGCCGTGTAATCAGGACCCAATCCACGCCCCGACTGTTCAGGGGGGGGGGGGGGCCCCACATTAAAGCAGGTCCCACATTAAACCCTAAACCCTAAGGGCACACCGGAACTTAAACCTTGCAGCCCTTACCAACCCTCAAAGCCCTATAGACCCCCAAAAAAAACCCTCAACCTCACATCATCATTACAAGCATTCCCCCGCGTCCGTAAATGCTTCTGGGCTTCCGTGTCCCCTCCGACAAGAGATGTAAGCACCACCGCGAGCATGTAGGCGAAGATGAATGCAGCCATCGACATCCAGAAAACGGAAGGCAGAGCATCGATGAACCTGATCCACAAGGGCGCACAAGGAACCGGAAGCTCTCTGGCTTACTGGTTCCCCAAGATTTTTTGGGATAATTACCAATCCCTTGATACTAAAGGGCTGTAATATAAAAAAAACGGGAAAAGCCTTGGCTCAGCCCAAATAGAGAAAAATTTGGCATGCTTCCCCGTATACTGACAGTCCTTAATCGGGATTATAGTACCCCAATTCCGATTAAGGACTGTTAGTAGAAGGGGGAACATCCCGAAGTATAGTCCCCTCTAAAGGAACCTAATGTTGAAAAACCTCCCATGCCTGTTTAACTATCGAAGAAGGCAGCCCAGAACGCGGAACCATCCTAAGAACCCTAAACCCTAAAACCCTAGACCCTTAAATCCCTAAACCCTAAAACCCCAAAACCCCAAAACCCTAAAACCCTAAACCCTAAAACCCTAAAACCCCAAAACCCCCAAAACCCTAAAACCCCAAAACCCTAAAACCCCAAAACCCCAAAACCCTAAACCCCTAAAACCCCAGAATGCAGATTGCGAGTCCAGAAGCCCCTGCGTAATTCTGAAGAGGCCCACGACGATCTTCTCCCCTTTCAGAGCACGAGCTATCCGGAAGGCGCGAAAGATGCCTTAGCTGCTCATGGCAGGCCTGGGCCGTTCAGGGTTTAGGGTTTAGGGTTTAGGGTTTAGGGTTTAGGGTTTAGGGTTTAGGGTTTAGGGTTTAGGGTTTACGGTTTAGGGTTTATGGTTGGGATGTTCTCCCTTTTCTCAACAGTCGGTAAATAGGGATTCTAGTACCCCTTACTACAATCCCTAGGACTGTTAGTATAAGGAGAAAATCCCAAGTTTACCCTTTTCGAAGCAAAGATACGCATCGACGCTGCCCAACGGAGTCCACTGCCGTTCTCCTTGGCCATGCTGACCACCTCGGACAAGTTCCTATAAGAGTTCGGGACACTACTGGGTTGCCCAGTAACCTAGGATGAAAAGGGTGCCCTATGTTGCTTAAAGGGGTTTATAACTGAACCCATTTAACCAACCCTAAACCCTAACATCTGAAGACCGGGTACACTGCAACGAATCGGCCCCGTGACAGCACAGCCAACTCTGTCTATTGGTTCGCTCAAGGGTGCTCAGCGTGCACTGAGCCCTAATCCCTTAAACCCTTAAACCCTTAAACACTTAAACCCTTAAACCCTTAACCCCTTAACCCCTTAACCCCTTAAACACTTAAACCCTTAAACCCTTAAACCCTTAAACCCTTAAACCCTTAAATCCTAAACCCTAAACCCTGATTGCCATCAAGCGGCCAAGTCAGCACAGCTGAAGACGACAAGGCTATAGTCAAAAACGTTCCATGCATCCATGAAGTACTCCTGGCCAACAATTGCTGCGGCTCCGTCAAGCTCAAACTCAAACTAAACCCTAAACCCTAAACCCTAAACCCTAAACCCTAAACCCTAAACCCTAAACCCTAAACCCTAAACCCTAAACCCTAAACCCTAAACCCTAAACCCTAAACCTCAACCGAGCAGCCCAGCTGAGTTGATTCACCCTGAGCAGCATCTCTACGAAGAAGAAGCCCGTGAAGGTGACTTCGCTCACAAAGAAAGGCAGCCGATCTTGTAGCCTGACACAAAAGGGGATAGGATTAGGGTTTAGGGTTTAGGGTTTATTGTGTAGGGTTTGGGGTTTAGGGTTTAGGGGGATTAGGGGGACCCTTGGGGATATAGACCCTCTGAATAAGGACCCTGTTTAAGAGAACCAGAAGAGGGTTAAGAAGGGGTTCCCGTTTAAGGGTCCCCCTTATCGTACCTACGAGACACACAGGCTGCATCTTCACATGACACAAGGCTGCGGCTACTTGTTGGGATGTTCCCCCTCAGTCCTTAATAGGGATCATAGTAAGGGGGGGGTACTAGAATCCCTCTTGAGGACTGTTAATTAGCATAAGGGGGGGGGGGAAACATCCCAAGCTACTTTGCTTGGCCATTGGTCACTTGTGGGTCCCCGACTCGAGGCCGCTCCCATAATCGCTTTCCACTCCTGACCACGCTGGCTCCAGAATGTTCCCAGAGACTCCAAAACCCCTTATTACGGAATATCCCTTAAATTATACTAGGAACTCAAATATGATTTAAGGTATATTCCTTAACTAAGGGGTCTTGGAGTTTCTGGGTTGCGTCATGCTTCGACCACCCTCTACAGATCGTACGAGTGTATTTGGAGATGTGTGGAGAATGCTGTTGAACAGGGGCTGACTTTGCGGGTGCTCATGTCAGGGCCAGCTCCAGAACAAGAACAAGAGTCCAATGAGCACGGTATTCGCAACCGTGACGAGGACGACAAAGAAGTTAAAGGTGATGCTGGAGGCAAAGTGCTTTCTCCTGGCATCTCACACTTTTTGGCAGGGTCTCTGGGAAGCTGTTGCGGAACGTCATGTGTGACCATGATTTCAATGGCCGGGACCTGTCGCCCCAGACCGTCTGAGAGGGGTGTAGATGGCTTTGGGTCGGGATGGTTTAGGGACTGGCTACTGCTATTTGCTCAAGAACGCCCCACAAAACAAAAAATAGTAGTCCCTTTATTGCCCTTCTAAGGAAAAGCCTTTTCATGTCTTGTGCGGTTCTTACCCAGACCCCTGGGAGGATCAAAAAGACAGATCCCCGTAAGGGTTCCTAAAATCACCCAATAGTAGAAGAGGGTACTATTTGGGGATTCTATTTTTTGGATCCTCTCAGGGGTCTGGGTAAGCAAATAGTAGACTAGCGATCCGACCACCTGCGACGCTTTTCGTCCGGCCATTCTGTGCGAATCTGGTCGAAGAGGGTGATCAGCCTGCCAGGGCGGTTGCCACTTCGTACGGGCCGGGATGCCTCTAACACACCGTTTCTCCTAAACTAAAACCCTAAACCCTAAACCCCTAAACCCTAGACCCTAAACCCCAAACCCTAAACCCCAAACCCCAAACCCAAACCCAAAACCCAAAACCCAAAACCCTAAACCCTAAACCTTAAACCCTAAACCCTAAACCCTAACCCTAAACCCAAGACCCAGCTGAGACGACCTGTCTGGAGGATCCTGAGGTGGCTTCCTGCAAGGAAACGCCACTCATGCAAGTACTATAGGGTCCTTAACAACTAGTATAGGGTTTAGGGTTTAGGGTGTATAGGGTTTAGGGTGTAGGGTTTAGGGTCTAGCGGCCTTAACAATTAGAATGGGGTCTTGGGGCTATTGTAGAAATAAGTACGGAGCGACCCGACCCCTAAATTTTCCTTCCTATACGGTGAAAGCCTAATTGCTTCGGCTACATTGGCTCCATGGATGCTACATGCTACAATTAGGGTTTAGGGTTTAGGGATTAGGGTTTAGGGCTTTGGTGCTGCTACAATCGCATGAGTCCACACATATCGGTCTGCAAGCCCCAACAGATCTTCTCAGCGAAGCCGCAGGATCCAACACATTGGACGTTCTTCAATACTGTAGTCCCGAAACCCTAAACCCTAAACCATAAACCCTTAGTAGAAAAGTTGGCACGTAATACTACGACATGGCACAAGCCCTCAGCGTGTCCTCCCAAGGCACTTCGATGCCCAGCCAGACATTTGAGCCACAAACGCTCCCAGAATTTAGGATTCAGGGGTTTAGGGGTTTAGGGTTGAGGTTTTGGGTTCAGGCTGTAGGGTTTTGCTCACAGCGTCTGTGCTGGCTTCCACACAACAAGCATGCAGGGAGCCAACGCGCAGGTTTTGGACACCGCTCTCAAGAAACTGCCACGTGCCCGAACCAAGCACACTCCGATCCAGTTCACACGCAGCGTCGGCCTTGAAACAATAAACCTTAGCTTTCCTTGCACTCTTGGGGTAGTTACATGGTCCCTGAATATGGACTCTTAAATGCCTAGAACCCAAGGATCAGAGACCTTTAAGGGAGTAAGGGATCATGAAAACTGCCCTTAGATGCACGGAAGGCAATGGGGTCCTTAAGAACCAGAGCTCCCCAAAAAGACGGAGAGACCTTGACATCACGAACCTCTCTTCGAGGACCTGTTCCTGCTGAATTCCGGGGCCGCAGGCTTTTGTTCATGAAGTCCTTTTCTGTCGTTTCGCAAGAGCATCTTCTCCGAAGCAAACCACAATGAGAATCAAAAAGGTAAGCCCTAAACCCTAAACCCTAAACCCTAACCCCTAAACCCTAAACCCTAAACCCTAAACCGTGGCTGTTTTGAGACGTCCGGACCTCATGAACGCCCGGCGCATGCTGAAATGGTCTCAAGTGCGTCAGCCAAAAGTCCGCGCCATGACCTCAGTTGCCACCGCAAGGTTGGATCTTATGTTTAGGGTTTAGGGTTTAGGGTTTAGGGTTTACACAGAAGAAGGGCCGAAGTGACATCCGGATGGGTCCAATTCCCAACACCATGTCATGATGTCATAACATCATAATATCAGGCCATAATGTCATCCTAACATCATACCATACTAACACAATATACAAACATATCAAAGTCACATAAATATCATAGTAACCAAAAAAAGATAAGCCAACAATGGGTGGTTTGCAGCCGCAGTGCGTCCATGAGGCGACCACGGTGGGCACTTTGGGTGTCAGGACCATCCAGGACACGCGCCTCCCGCTGCCGGATACTGCCACGGATCCTTGGAAAGTCGCCTCCCGTTTTTCTATTCCATTTCGGGTTCTATTTTTATATCATTCTTCATGATATTGCGGCATTCTGATATTCTGATATTCTGATACTCTGACATAGCGATCTTTTTACAGGTTGCGCTCTCCTCTTCTTCAAACTGGCAAAGGACAGCGGTAGGTGCCCGGCTGGCAGTCTTGGTCCTTGCACAACAGCAGGGCCCCATCTGGTAGCCTGCTCGAAAAGGGTGGAACAATGACTTGGGGGGGGGGGGGGGATTAGAGCCTTTCGGGGGGGGTAAGCGGTTTAGGGATTGGGGCCAAGTTTGGGGGGGTTTTAGGGTTTCGGGGTTTAGGGCTGCGATGATGATCAACATGTCAGCAGCTCCATGGACTCGTTCGCACGCGCGCACGCTAAGAGGCAACGTGGGGAGGGCACGATCAGTTCTTTGCAGTGGTGCTCTATGGCATACGCGCATGTGTGGATTGGGCAAAATACAATGTATTCTGGGGCAAGTCAAGGGTGTCTTAATTAAGTTAATTAAGCATTCAGAAGTTCCAGCTCAGCCCACGGCCCGATAAAGTCGACGTTGTGCATGGCATCCTGGAAAAGGCTCGAGGTGAGATCCCATAGCCGCCTTGAAGTCGCGTTCTGTGGGCTGAGAAATTTTTCGGTTCAGGGTTTAGGGTTTAGGGTCTAGGGTTTAGGGATGAGGTTCAGGGTTCAGGGTTTAAGGTTTAGGGAAAGGTGCCCAGACTGCTCTGCTTGGCTACTGAATCAGGGCTCCTACTCTTGGGAGAGCTTGGAATGTTCCCCCTTATACTAACAGCCCTTCAGAGGAATTATACGCTATAGCCCTGAAGACTGAATTATATGTTATAGCCCTTAAGAGGAATTATATGTTATAATAGGGGGGATACTATAATCCCGTCTAAGGACGGTTGGCAAAAGGGGGAACATGCTAAACAAGAGCCGTCAAAAGTAAACCCTAAACCCTAAACCCTAAACCCTAAAACTGTCTCAAGGAGCAGATTGTCGTCGTCCCAGCCAGGAATCACGGCGCATTGCCCAGCGAGCTGGAGGCCCTGCATGTCGCCCTTTAAGAGCCTCAGCACTGTTGTAGGGGTTTAGGGTTTAGGGTTTAGGGTTTAGGGTTTAGGGTTAGGGTTTAGTGTTTAGTGTTTAGGGTTTAGGGTTTGGGGTTTAGGGTTTAGGGTTTAGGGTTTAGGGTTTAGGGTTTAGGGTTTAGGGTTTAGGGTTTAGGGTTTAGGGTTTAGGGTTTAGGGTTTAGGGTTTAGGGTTCAGATTCTCTGGTCCAAGCATTCACTAGTTGAGCAGCTTTCAAGGCCATAGGGGAATACCCACCCGCCCATTGGGTCCCACACCATTAGGAAAATAATCTAATCCTCCTCCTCTCTGGGCAGCTACGTTCCTTCCCGATTCCCCTATGGCCTTGAAAGCTGCTCAACTAGTGAATGCTTACCTCTCCTACTATATATATTTAAATGTTAAACCCCTTCGTGGATTTGGGCAAAAACCGTCAAACACGGATGCTAGTTGAACACGCTCGGTCTCCAAGAAGCGAGGATGCTAGTTGAACACGCTCGGTCCCCAAAAAGCACGGATGCTAGTTGAACACGCTCGGTCGCCAAAAAGCAGGATGCTAGTTGAACACGCTCGGTCCGCAAAAAGCAAGGATGCTAGTTGAACACGCTCGGTCTCCAAGAAGCGAGGATGCTAGTTGAACACGCTCGGTCCCCAAAAAGCAGGATGCTAGTTGAACATGCTCGCTCCCCAAACAGCAGGATGGTGGGGTGGGGGTGGGTCGGGAGGGGTCCGGTGGAGGGTGGTGGGGGGGGGGGTGGGGGGGGGGGGGAAGGTGCGAACGGGGGGGTGGGCGTGGGGGGGGGGTGGGGGGGGGGGT